CAGCACCATTTACTGAGACTGTCTTTTCTTGATGCTTTTGTCAAAAATCAGTTGCTCACATGATCATGATCCTCTCCTGTTCCACTGGCTTATGTGTCTCTTCATGCCAGTACAATGCTATTTTAGTTACTGTAGCTTTGTGTAGTATGTTTTGAGATCAGATATTTTAATGCCTCTTGTATTTTCCCTTCCTTTTTTTCCTCCCTCCCTTCCTCCCTCCCTTTGCCTTCATCTTCTTCATCATCATCATCATCACCATCCTTTTAGTCACTGTCTCCTCCTTTTTGGTCTTCATGGATTAATTCAAGACACATCCTCAAGTTCTGACGTTCTTACCCTTATCCTAGTCTGTTGTGGAAAAACACTATTCGGATTGAAGTTTTTATTTACAAGATTTTGGATTTTCTGATTTCAATCACTTTGGGGAATTTCCCATTAATATCCTTGATTGTTTTTCTCATTTTTTTGAACTGTTACCTGTATTTTCTCGCATCTCACTTAGTTTACTTAGGATCATTACCTTAAATTCTTTTTCAGCCATTTTATAGACTTCCTCCAAATTGAAATCTATTCCTGGGGAATTAGTGTCTCGTTTAGAAGAATAAACATCCCAAATGTGTAGACATCAGGTAAAAGGATGCAAGAAACAGAACACTGAGTATGTTTACTCTAACTTAAAAAATCACTTTTGTAGAAAAAGATTTGCTCATTTAGATGGGATGTAGGATTTCAGCTGGGCAGATTTGGGTTAAGTTAAAGGGAAGCTCAAAAGTGTGGTCTCTGGTTTCTCTGTGTTGATGTCAGCAGCCTCAGTAGTTAGACCGCGGCAGTTCCTAAATGTAGTTGCATCACTTGGCAGGGGACAAGGGCTTCTGGGGCTGTGCCTTGAGGCTGTGCAGAGTTTAGCCCTGATGGCACTAAAGCTGGAGGGAGCAGCTGCCACCATCTCCGTGGTGCAAGGTGTGGAAAGGATCTCAGATCTCTCGGGGCAAGCACAGATGATGCCGAGGGCTGCGGCGGCGGCAGCAGCAGCCCCCAGTCTTTTAGCCTCAAGCTGACAGATCACCAGATCCTGCAGGGTAGATTTGGGAAATGCTGAGCCTGTGGCACCAGCAGCCACCGTTATGGAGCTTCTGAATGGGACAGGACCTTGCCAGGTCTCACCAGATGAGCACAGGTGATGGTAGGGTCTGTGGCACCTATAAACGTGGGCTTGAGGTTATGGAATGCAAAAGAGATTTCCCAGCACTCACCTTCATGAAGTCCCAAATCCACATCTCATTTTCCTAAGATTAAATATCCATCCAGGAGCCCAGAGGGCATGAAACTCCCAACAGAAAGTTAACGATGATCTTAACGTTTTTCTCTCCCACGTCATTGGCTAAATTTTGCTTCAGTATAGTAATCAATTTTTTCTCTCACTTGTAATAAAGTGTCTGGGGGCAGAAGTTGGACCTAGCAGCAGACCTTTGCAGCAGACATTCAAATCCCTTTCAGCCCCCACTGCACTGGGTCTCTCTGAGCGTGCTTTTCACCCTTAAGTTGGCCAACAGTAGCATGCGGTGATTTGTAGGCTTTTGTGTGATGGGTCCTCTTTCTTTTCTTTTCTTTTCTTTCCACAGCTATCTTTCAAAAAACTTCACTGGAAGCCAGGTTAATCTTCACAGGCAAGGATCATTCCTCTAGTTCAAAGTGCAAACTGAATGTTCTAAACGTTGTAACAGAGGACTTCATTTAAAAGAAGGATCTACCATTGGCTACTAAAATATAATCTAGGAGAGCAGTGGGCAGATCTATACTGTCTGCTTCCCATGCAAATGAAGAACAGTGTAAAGCTAGAAAGCCCATTGAAATAATTTATTCTGTGCCTACCTTTGTTGATACCTGCTGTTTACATGACCCAAGGCTGGGCACTTGGGTAATGAAGATGCAGGAGACAACATCTCTGCCACCTGAGAGCTGTTGATAGAGGAGGAGCATACACCTAAACATTCCAGAACATGGCATATGCCCGTAGGGAGGAATGTACTGAAAAAGAGTGCTTGTGAAGTGGACCTCGAATGCAGGAGAGAGCGAGGGAAACTGGAGATAGATATCATTCGTTGCATATGCACTTGGAAGAAAACTCACATGAGCTTGTACCTGGGCAGAAGCCCAGAGCATCTGGTGTCTGAGGGAAGTGGTCCCTGATGAGGTCGGAGTGGGAATGGGTCTGGATCCGTGAGAGCCCTTGTGAGGGAGCCCCACCTCCCAATTTATTTACTCTTTTTCCCTGCATTCCCTACTGCTGAATACTTAGCTGTACTGCTATAGGGTCTGAGCCCCCTGCAGCTCTGCCTACCATCCAGATAACCTGGCTGCTCACAGCAGTGTGGGATGATCCAGGACTGGCAAGGTTGTAAGGAGTCTGTTTTTAGAACTTTGGAGGAAAAAATAAAGAAACGAGAAATATAGGACATTCAGGAATATTTTTTAAATGAGTATGATACACAGTCCAGAAACCAAGGAGTTAAAGAAAAATTAACTGTACTGCCTTCTCAGGGGCTGGACTCTTAAAACCTTTGTGACAGAGAAAAATTGTGTGGTGGAGGCAGAAATCAAGCTGTAAATATCAAAAGAAACTCTGCAAAACTGAAAAATTGAAGAAATTTAAAGGCATCAAATTCTTATACTTTCCTATATTAATTTTGAGTAGGCTAAACAGGGCAAAACCAGCAAGTAGCTCCCCAGTCTCTTGGGTACTGAGTGAAACAATTGGGAGTTCTTTTTATAGGCACGTAGGGCTGCTTTACTGTGGCCAGGGACTGGGGGGTGTTTTATGTCTGCCGTCACTCTGTGCCTGCTCTCTTGACTCCACTGCAGAGCTTATGACTGAGCATGTGGCTGTTTAAGGAGCTCATTGGTCCTCGGCTCCCTGCCCAGGTGGGGTGATATGTGGGCTCACGGGAAACAAATCCAAGCCCGGCTGCTATGGGCTTGCATCATGCAACTTCTTGGTTTGCATAATAATGCTTCTCGTCATCTTTTGGTTCATTTGGTAACCCCTGTATTTCCTGAAAAGATTTTTTTTTCAAATCTCACATAATGGCTCACTGAGGTCCAGTCATCTTTCTTTTTAATTTTAAAGAGAAAAAAGCAAAAACAGAATCAGGAAGCAAGCAAACCTAAAACAACAACAACAAAACTATCAATAGCTGTGTAGGTTTTCAAAACAAGATGATAGGAATTTAACAATCGTTAAACAATACTGCATACTGTTATCTTCAGAATAGTGGCTCTGGTTACCAGATATAGGAATAAAACAAAACAATAAAATGAAACAAAACATTGGATTTCAAAAACAAAACAGAAGGAAATCCCCTGCAGTTGCCACAATGTGCACTGTCATCCTTCAAATAGAAGCCCAGACCACCAGCCCCAGCTTTGCAAAGTCAATCAAATAATACAAGCCCCAAGCTCTTCCTTTCACCTCAGCTGCTATCATCTCACTCTGAGTTCCTCCGAATCAGCCAGTTGCTTACGGGTTGGGTGGGGGGACGCTCTTCTGGTTTCCCAGCGCACTGGCTGGCTCACGCAAAGGTATGGATTGTTGTCTTGCTGAGTCTCTTCCCCTTGTTCTCCATTGCGGATCCTGGCTCAAGGGAAGGCCAGTCCATTCATCTTTAAATGTGATCCCTGTGCCCCAGCACCACTGCGCTGTGAAACAGTCCCCCTTTCCATGCAGAGGTATTTTATAGATGTCTGTACCTCTGCTTCCCCAAGAGGGCCAGTCTCAAGAAATCAGATGCAGACTTGACTAAACCCTAGTGCTATTTGCTTTCCCTGCCTGGAACTTGCCGCTGCTGGCTCCCTCACTTCCCCACACCTCCTGGGAGAATACATCTGTGTAGTTTCTTTCTGTGTTCATGCCAGCAATCAAGGTCACCTACAACTGTAAAGGACTGCATTCTTGCTCTCAGAGGGCCGCTGCTGAGAACCGCTGAGGACCTCTGTGGCTCACTGGGGGAGGCTTGTCATCCCCAAGATTTTAGGAGCACACAGAAATGTCCCCTTAGTGTCCAGAGTATGTTTCCAGAGCCTGCATGTATCTGTCCCTGTGTTTTGCTTGTTTTATTTGGCTACATGCTCAGCAGACACTTACGGGGCACCTCGTGTGTTTTGGGCCCTAAACAGGGTTTTCTCATTCATTTCCAGCAGGCCCTGCTGTGCAGGGCTGGGCCCGTCCACTGAGGCACCATGAGGTCTGGCGGGAACTGTGCTCCTCCCCAAACCTAGTTTTTAAAGCCAAACATCATTTGACAAAGGATTTCTTAATCATTTAAGAGTATCCACAATAATATAGTTTGGATGCCAGAAATCTCTGAATTTTCAGTGGGCTATGGATTAAATTGGACAACATATTTGGAGTTTGAACTGAATAGTAAAATACAGGGTATATAATTTCTAATCGCCTAATTAGCCCCAGTTGTTTTTTTAAAAGCAGGTGTTTTAATTTTTATTTTTCCATTCAAATGTTGGGCAGATTTTTTTGGTTTTGGCGTTTTATGATTTTGTTTATTTTGTTGTGAAAACAGTCTCACTGTGTACTAAGGGTGGCCTTAGCTGGGACTTCAGACGTGCAACACCACATGTGACGGGGCAGGCAGTTTGTAAGACATGGTCACCTAAGTATATGTGTCTAAGGAAAAAAGGTATTTGTGAAATATCTTTCACTCTTCATTTAGGACTCTAAGTTTAATGGTCAACTTCTTTCAAAGATTCTTTCAACATTTAACCTAAGGTGGGGCAGAGCAATAAAACTTCTTCCAATAGTGGCAAGAGTGGAAAAGAAAACTGAAATAATGCCGCTGGCTTGTTCTGTACTGAGCGGTTTGTTTCCAGAGGAGCTTCTCCCAGCTCCAGGATCTAGTTTGCCCCTTCTGCCCACCTCCTTCCCCTCAGCTCCCCGAGGAGAGGTTGCTCAGATTCTCACCGATGCCTGTCCTTTTGCTGTGTTCTAGTCTCCGTCTCCTGGCAGTTCATCACCTCTGGGTGCAGAGTCATCAAGTACACCCCTTCATCCCAGTGACCCCGCGGACGCCTCCACCAACAAAGAGGTAGGGGGCACTGTTTGTTCATGAAGCCATCGGCCTGTTTTAATTCTAACCCTGCTCTGTGCTTTCTTCAGTTTCTTAGAGTTCCTCGCCAGTGTACAGTTTGTCTGTTAAAGCCATGCTGCCCGATTTGGTAGCCACTGGTGCTCAGTGGCAACCTGTGGGCGGTAGCTACTGCATTGGATGGTAGCAGGTAAGGAAACATGAGCATTATTGCAGAATGTGCTGTTGGACAGCTCTGAGCATCAAAAGCTCGTGTCGGCACCCTATACCCTTAGATGCCTTTTGATACTATAGACTGGCAGCTGCTGAGTAGCTTAGAAAATGGGTTGGTTCTTAAATATGCATTTATTTCAAGCCTTAATAAAAGTTCTTTCATAAGAGCAGGTGACCACATGTCATCTTCTCTAAGTCATGGTTCCAGTTCACACCACCTGTCTAAGCATTCCATCTGGGGCGCATCCTTAACTGTTTCTAAAGCAGTACTAGCTAACAATGTTCTGTGACGATGAGTGTTCCACTGCTGTCTAGTCTGTAGGCAGCTCCACGGACTCAGGCACCTATTAAGTCCTAGGCAGAGCAGCCAGGGACTACTGAAAGAGCAGTCCTAAGACCCTTTTGGTGTCTTTGTTTACCGTTGTGGAGGACAAACAGCTGTGCCGTACAGAATCTAAAGGAGGAGATGCTACCAGCTCCTCCAGAGGATTCTGGGGCTAGAAGAGAGCAGGTGTTTTTTCCAAAGTGCAAGCCACTGCCTTCTCCAGTATCCAGTGTCCTGTGACATACAGGTGACTGGCATCCTTTTGGTGGCCCAGCCTCAGGCAAGTACTGGCCTGTCTGGTAATGGGTGTGTGGGCTCAGCTTGCTCCAAATATTTTTGCATAGTTGCTCCCTCATCCACACGGAGCAGATAGGTTAAAGAGGTGAACCCCACATAATGAATGGCTGTCTCACATTTCCTTGTTTTGCTGATAATTTTATGTTAAATGCAGTATAAGGAAACAGTCTGTTTTGACTCGAGTGGCCGGTCACTTCTAAAGCACATTTTAAACTCACACTTAGCATGTCATGGAATACACATGCTACTCGTGTGAAGAAGTGCATTTTTATTACTCTGTTTATAATAAATACACACAGACCTTTTTGATATGAACCTGAAATTAGAATTTAGATTGAAAGTATACTGTGTACTTGTCTGATTTATCCTCACACCTCAGTCTGCTGGGACAAGGATGACGGAGGCCCAGTTCCTCCACCTCTTCCATACAGCTTCGTGCTTATTCATAGCATATGGATGAGTGAGGACGAATACAAGAAAGACAGCTGCAGTAATGGGTGCTAATCACAATGAGCATTTACCGTGCCCCTGGCTCAGAAGCCCAGGTAGTATCCCGTTGACTTCTGAAGGATTCTCTGAGGTAGCGCTGTCATTGCCATTACTGATTAGCTGAGCAAGCTGTCAGGCTGAGTAACTTACCCGAGGGCACAGAGCTCGTGAATGGCCAACCAGGATTTGAATCCAGACGACTGTGGGCCTGTGCTCTTACTTGGCAAAACTGCTGCCTCGAGAGAGGCAGGTTGCAGGTCGCAGATGGTGCACAAGGTGACTTGTGTGTCATTATTCCAGCTGTCAGGCTCCAGCCTCTGCAGTGCTTTAATATGACCCCCAGAGAAACCCCGAGCATTGTGGCCTTTAGCTTCTTAAATGCAGCCTTATTAATTCTCCAATGCTAAGGTCAGCTGGTTTCTTCTCAGCCCACTTGTGAGACAGCGAAAGGCGAATCAGACATCTGATTATGATCAGCCTTTGATTACACATCAGATATAATAAGCAAGGCAAATTTGTTAGTTTCTCAGTTCCTGCAAGACTTGGCATGTGTTTCTGAATATCCTTAGAAATAATGATGAAAATCTTCTTTGTAAGAAATAGAGATTCTTTCATTTCACCAAACACTTTTACTACCCCTGAGACTAAGGAAAGCTAGTCATGAGCTCATGAATAGAGAATCAGTGAATGTACCAAATGCCTACCATTGTAGCAGTAAATAAAATTGTAGCTTTTACAGCTGTAAAGTAATTCTTCTGTAGCTGCTAAAATCTGGTCATGGTCTTTAAAATTAGTATTGATAAAAGCATCCTAATAACCCAAGAAAATCTACATTGGCTTCTCAAACCTACATTGGCTTCTCAGATATAACTAGAGGCTGGGTTATTTTGATATACAAGGTAAATGTTACACTCCAGGCCTACTGCAGAGCTTTCATTGCTGGGGACAGCAGAGAGATGTCTGTGAAGTAATAATTTCAAAATTTTGGCCCTTAAGAAGCTGACATCCATTTGCATACCATGCAGTTTTGTTCCTGGGGCTCAAGAGCCTCAGCTTCTTAAAAATGAGGAGCTATTTCACCCCAGTGAGTACACCTTACAGGAAAGTTGCCCTGCAGTGTGTTCTGTGATTCATCACGCAGGGCAGCTGTGGAATTCTTGTCTTCCTTCTGAACTGAGTTAGAGTCTTAAAAGCAGGCTTCTTTTGGGTGCCTAGTTTTTCATTGAATAGTTAACACTATTTGTAGGATGTTAGAGACTTCTGTCTTTAATGTGAGTTCTTCTGGGCCACTTGCATCCCTCTGCCCTAGACCTCCCTGCTGCAGATTCTGTCACTGTGAATCTCCTACTCTTATTTCACATGAAGTTTTGTCTAGGACATTGGCTTCTAAGAGGGACCCTGGCAAGTTGTGCTTATCTCAGAGCTAGCTCTTAAACTGCCCTCTGAATAGGTTCTAGAAGGTTCCCACTTATCACATCCATTTCAAGCCATTCTGTTAGAAGTTTTCTTTTGCTATGAGATGTTACTTAACATAAGTGCCAAAAAAGAAGTTCCAGGATTTTTAATTTTTTTCCCTTTTTATGTTCTTAAGGTAACATACAATAATGATTTATATAATGATATTTTTCAAGTGAATACATCAGGAAGAGTGAAAGGAAGAAGGGTAAATAAACTAGCACACATTTTTAGCATAAATATCTTTGAAGCAAAGACCTAAGGTAAAATTGTCTAAGGGAGTTCTTAATTTTGTATACAATCATAATGTTGGTTCTCTTACTAATTGGCACTTTTTCACTTAAAAGTCTGGAACTCAGGCTTAAGAATATAAATTGTATCTTTTTTACTGCTGTTGCTGAGTGTAGATTTCATTCTGTAGGATATTTTTTAAGCTGACAGACTCTTCTCTGAAATGTGGTCAACCTGTTCTTGGTTTAGATAACCTTTAGTAATAAACGCATGTTTATCCACAGTCTTTGCCCATAAATAGTCAATAACTGGTTAACAAATGCCAGTGGTGATGTGTTTCTTTTTCATTTGGCCTGGGTGATTGTGTTGATGTATTTATTTAATCATGCTTTGCCCTTTTTGAAACCTCTTTGTCTTAATTACAGTCAAGAAAAAGCTTGGCTTCATTCCCAACCTATGTCGAAGGTAAGCATTGAAAAGAAAGTACTGAGCACTGAATCACTCATGAATTTTTCATTGTTTGAGGCATTTGAAGCACTGAAAAGAAGCTAATAGCATGGAAGAAAAGCCACAAAGTTACTAAATCCAATGCTAACAGTTTGAGGTTCTTAAACTGAAAGAATAATATCACTGAACTTCTCAGAAATTTTCCTCCCTGTGTGGCTAGGGACCTGGAAGCTGTGGGCTTCCCCAGTGAGGTGCAGCTTAGCCAGGTCTCATACATCCATCAAGAGCAATTCAAGTGGGATGAATTTGGTGAAGAAACTTTGGTCCTCATGTGAGAAAAGTGATCCCAGTTAGTCCCATCTCTTAGGTGGATGAACTGTTAAGAGTAAGCTTTAACAGTCTCTGGCAGGTACTTTGCTAAGCATTTTGCATGTAATACTAATTGACTCCTATATTGATCTATCATGAAGTGGGTTTTTACGTTAGCCTCATGTTATGCGTGAGAGAATGGAGGTATCAAAGGGTGAATAACCTACCTGACATCAAGCAGTTTGCAGTTAGTAGAGTCAGGTTATGAAGGCAGCATCTGATGCCAGCTTAACTTCATGGTTTTCTCTGGAGCCAGTGTTTGTCTTCAAGGCTGAAGACCAGCAGGGCCAAAACAAAACCCAGGGTTTGAGATCATGCCACCTACATGGGGTGCAGAATCCTCATTCCCAGTCACCCTCTGGCTGTAGGTAACACTGATGCTGCACCAGGGGCAGGACAGAGGATTTTCTAGTAGGGTGGATTCCTACCACCTTGAACAGCCTTTGGGTCCTGTGAATGAACAGTTGCTGTGTTTTGCTGCCTGGCAGTGAGTTGCCAGAATTCATAAGCCTTCACTAACACAAGGGCCTGAAGCCTGGGAAAAACTAGTAGTTGGGTCGGTTTCTTACTGAGCAGGCTGTAAACTGCTTGCACCCTTGAGGGGTGGGGCGAAGTTCTGAAGTGCTGTGAGACATCTTGCAAAGTTTTCAGAGGTTTAGAAACTCCTTTTTTCTTAGCCACCCCACGAGGCCTCAGGAATTTGAGGCTCGGCATTAATCTGGGTGTGAGGGTGTAACGTGTTCATTCTCCCACAGGGCAACCCAAAAGGGAGGGAGAAAGGTGTTCCACAGTGAAACCTGGAATTCTTGATGTAGGATCATTACAGCTTTGCTTTTTAAAAAATATTCCAGCACCCAGGCTAAAAGTCAGTTTCCTTGAAGGATAAATGGCATAAGATCATACCAGAGTTAAAATTTGTTTGCATCCAATTTTTATGTCCATAGATGCTTGGCATTTATACCTATTTGGATATCTGTGAAACATACCTGCAATCTCACACTTACTGTGCTTGAAAAGGGCCACTTTTCAGTGAATAGAGCTAATCAGAATGAATAGATGCTACTGGCAGTCCCATAGGGAAGGTAGGTTAATTTTTTTCTTTTAGCATTCCAAATAGTTTTTTAAGTACCCTCGAAGAGCTCTTTTTTTTTTCCCAACATCAAGTCAAGAAAAATGATTAGCATTGTGAGTGTCCAGCACTAGGAACTTTTCAGAAGACACAATCGTACAGTCTGTAAAAACTGGCTGTTGTAAGTAACCTGAATCCTCCTCAAACCCATGAAAGTGTAGGGTGGAACCACTGAGAAAGTAAATTCCTGGTGTGCTGTGGAGGGAGTTGGCTCTATGCCACTTAGAACGTTTGTCCAGAAGTCTTCCCTAGAAAGATGGAGACTAGGACAAGTACCAGGTTTACTTATTACAGTACTGCAAGATGCTTTAGGAAAGTCTTTTCTAAAATATTTTTAATTTCCTTGTTCAACTACCAATTTAGTTTTAGAAAAACGAATAAATTGTATAAGTCTATAGCCTGGTAAGTAGCTTATCGTGGGAAGCAGCTGTGTAAACTCAAGATGAGTTTGATGATTAAAGATAAAAGTAAAAACCATTTCAGATAAGCCCTCCAAGTTGCTGAGGTTTCAACAGTGGGGAAAATGCATACTTTTAGTTCTCCCAGATTTGGCACTTTTCATGTCAAAGAAAATTTCAACTACAGATTAACATTAGATTCCATGTACAGCTTACTGGTTATTCTGGTTAGAATCAGATGCCTCTACTGAAAATATTTAAAAGTAAGATTTTATTTGCTAGAATGATGAATGAGAACAGAAGATTCTGATTTTCCTTGGACTTGATCTGTGTGTGGGCACAAATGGTAAATATTATGGTGTGTAAGTAGGCGGTCTATGATCATGGTTTGGGGAGAATGGTATATATATATATTTATTTCAGAATTAAGGTCAGAAGCTGTGAGAGGAATCCAGATATTCCAAAAGAAATAGCCGGTTTTTCTAATAATAGAAATCATTTACTCCATTATGGAGGAGGGAGATATTGCTTTATGAAATCACATTTCCCAGTAAAATAGCCTTCTGTTCACTCAACCCTTTATCTAGCAAAATCCAGTTGATACCCACAGGGTAACATACATGAGACTCAGAGATCAATGTGACATGGTCCTTGACCTCAGAGACTTCATGGTCTTAAGAGAAACAACATCTTTCATTGCTGGATTTTATGCTTTGTATTTAAGTAAATGCAAGCACCATTTCTCACAGTACCTGGACTGGATCCGGGGAGGTGGCTAAGAGACCCTGCCTTTTAACTGGAAAGAGGAGGGGTGAGTGAAGGCAGACTGACCAGCTGGCCAGAGGTCTCTGGACCTGACCCACCTTTGCCATAGTAAGCGTGGGGAGGGTTGGTGTACCCTCCGGGTTTTGGCAAGCCCTGCCTGGGTGGCTTGACTCACCACTGTTGCTCTGTATGTTACAGTTCCTGGACCTTGTGACCCTGAAGACTTGATCGATGGAATCATTTTTGCCGCCAATTACCTTGGCTCCACCCAGCTGCTCTCAGATAAAACTCCTTCCAAAAACGTGCGCATGATGCAGGCCCAGGAAGCAGTGAGCAGGATCAAGGTGAGGGGCCGTGTGGGTGAAGGGGGATGGAAGCCAGCTGTGGGCACCTGGGCCCTCAGCATCGCCCCACACCTGTGGGTCGGGTCCTGCAAAGTTTAGAGAGAAGATGACATCACAGGCAGTTGTCCCTTTTGGCAGTACTGAACAGAAGAGGATTTCCGATATGGATTGGCATCTCTAAACACTATCTAGTTATTCTAAATGGTGACTTGTGAGGAAAAGTAAATATGACTATAGACTTTGAAACACTGATAGAAGTCAGTGACTTGAATATTCGTACAGAGTTGATTCAAACTAGGTGTCCTTGAACTTGTTGATTCTATTCAGGCTGGATTGAAACTGGCTTATTCATAATTAAATTGAACCACTTAATCAAGCTAACTGGGCTAGTCTCACCCAGTTTAATTATCAAGACTTAAAAGAGCCAGTCCTGTTTGATGATGTAAGAACCACTTTTATCTGGTTTGAAACACTCACACCTCCTTGGAGCCAATCAAAACCAGTTTGGTCCCATGGAAACAGAGCTCTAGAAGCATGGGCTCCCCACCAGGATGCCCCTACTACCTAGAATCATGGGCAAATCAGAAAGAAGAGACATTTAACGTGCATTTATGGCATCCAAATGTTACTGTACCCCCAGTTCATAGAACTGCAGCTAGCCACCCCCAGACAGCTTGTTACTGAAACCCAGAACCAGGTATTTTCACCAAAATAAGTTTTATTCCATTCCACCTGCTCATACTTGATACCCTTAATGCCACACCAGAAGAGTCACTCCCCTTTCCGTGTCCTCCACATTCTCAGAGTGGGTGCTGGTGTAACATGGAATGAGGCGGGAGGGAGAGGAGACAGTAAATGAGGTCTCTGATCTCTCTGACAGAATCTTCCTGGTGGCTATTGTGTTAATGGGCTTTGGAGGAAAAAAAAAAGTAGTGATTGGTAAAGTGAGACCTGTAAGTTCAACAGCACAGGTAGACCTCAGCCCACAGATTACAGGGAGTACGGGGTGGGGGGGTCCTCAGAGTGGACTGACAGGGAGAGTGGTGACTGCTGTAGGCCTGTCCGTCAGCTGAAGGGATACCTGTGATGGTCACATGTCCTTCAGCTGAACGGATACCTGTGACGGCCCGTGTCCTGGCTCTGCCCTGTGGCAAACGTTGGACAGGTCACAGTTCCGTTGCTGCCCTAATTATGATGCCTTGGCGCCCCCAGCTATGCTGCAGTTCCCCATGATGCTGTGCGAATGTCACCAGGTCCCCTCTCATTGCTTCATCATGCGGCTTTGCATTGCACCTGCTGCGGGGCCTACATGTCCTTCGTGTGTCACTCGCTGCTTCTCTTCAGAGCGGGTCCTTTCCTTAACTGCCCATCGTGTGTACAGTAGCTCCACGCTGCCACTTTCGGTCCTGCTTAGGATGGATAAGGAGTAATTTACGTTACTGCCAACTAGTGCCAGTGTTACCGACAGGGCTCGCTCATCCATCCGTCTGTGGGGGCCCATTCAGCTGTCTCAGCTGGGACGCAAAGCGTGCCTGTCTCTCAGAAGCCCTGCAGCCCCCTCCTGTCCTGTCTTCTCCTAAAATAGCCCTTCCCCCACAGATGAAGTGGGGAGTGGGTTCTTCCAAGGGAAGTCTCCTTCCCCGCTCCCTCTGGCCCTTCACAGTGGTGCATCTTTCCCCGTAAATAACTCCTAGAAATACCAGGACCTTCATTCTGCTGGCTCCCAAGAGGCACCCAGAGCCGTGGTAAATTTATGAGCTGCCTGCCCAAGCTTGCTGTGTTAATAACTTTATCACACTGACAGGAAGAAAGGTAGCTTTATTCAGAGGTATTTCAGTCCGTGGTCATGTAGTCACATTGCCTTGAGCCTGTGGTGCAGAAAACTGCTCAGCTTCTGGGGACTAGGAGGCAGAGAGAGGGAGAAAGAAGGGAGAACTTCTCACTGTAGACCCTACCCCTTCACCCCCCAAGAATGCCACAGTCTGGCAGCCAGGCCTTTAATATGTGGGAACATTCCGGACCCGAACTGTAGATACCACGTGGACTCATCTTTCCTGCCCTTGAGAGGTGACGTTAATGATAGCAGACTCCCCAGTGGTCATCTGCATCTGAATTCAGCATCTGCCAGGCACAGCATTCAGAATACCACACAGCCCTGTCATAGAGAGCGAGCTACTTTTCAGGGACCCTCTTGTGCTGCCTCATGCAGAGGCCACGGGGCCATCATTGGTCGTTCCTGTCCTCCAGGTAGTATACCTAGCTCCAGGTTTCTAGCTGGGGTCCTGTTAGCTTCCAGAGGGAGAAGACAGAGACCTTGTGTACCCTCTCCAGTGGTTCTCTGACAGGTGGGGACGGGCACTTCTGCTTGTCACAGTAATTCTAGAACCAGAACGAGTATGTGTGCCCACCATTCTGTGATGGCCAGGACCAAGCCACACACACAACACAAACTTACCTCCACCAAAATGCCACAGTGCCCACCCCAAGACACGCATTCAGAACCCACTCAGGTGCTCTTCCAAAGAAAGCAAGTCTGCCCCTCAGGAGCACTGGAGACCTCAGGGAGAGAAAATTGCGTGTTGCCGGAGGTTAGGTTCTCCTACGTGTTTTATAAAATCTTCAGATTCAGGTTTTATTTTGGGCGCTTTGTGTATTCACTTTCTGCTAGTGCTGCACACCTGTCAGTGGAATGTCTGCATTCAGTCTCAGAGGGGAGTGGGAAGATAGGACTCAGACGGTCGTCAGGGGAAGGTAGGCACCTTACCTGAGCAAGTGGGGTACAGCAGCATCTCTGCAGGCCCCATCTGGTGCCAGCTGGATCTGGAACCGGTGGTTTCTTGTTTACACAGCAGCATGTAATAGTGTTGCGTTTCCCTGAAAGCCCAGCTCCCTCATAAGAAGTCAGAAATTTTACTCCGAAGCTTCCAAGGGATTGGTTTTCAGAAGCTCCATAGTTCATTCGAACCTAAATTAAAGGACCCTATCAATCAGATAGAGGCTAATTATAAATAGATTTTAAACCTAATAGATTTTAAACCTCCCTGTAGCAGAGTAGACATTTGGAAAACACATTTATTTTTATAGGCAAATTACTCTAGTGTGAGGAATTCATTATAGCATGTGCAATTAAACACTTATATTTCATTTCTAAGTATCATTTTCCAGTGTGTTTCTGTGCTCTGGAAGGAACTACTGCCTATCATTAAGTATTTTCTGCATCACATTCCTTTTACATCTATTTAAATTCCTGTCAGCTTGTTGACGTGACACACAGCCAGAAGCCTCTCCCACTAGGCAAGGGCTGTGGATATCAGGACCCCTCAGCACTCAAGCTGGTGCTTAGCTCATGCAGGGGAGAGCATTTACCCAGACCAGTCGTCTGCATGGAACCCTGTGCCCAGGGAACTCGGTAGGACCCTCTCCTGAAGAGAAGCTGACCTTTCAGGACCGAGTTGAGGTCACCAAGGCAAAGATTTCATAGTGTGCGTCCAGGAAGGAAGGAGACAGAAAAGCTCTCCGCTGTTTATTTTGCAATCCATTTAGCAGGGTCCAAATCTCACCAGGTGACAGTGAGCCCGGACTTGGTGATCTCCCCTACCTGAAGATAGGGGGTTTCTTCCCTGCTTTCTGCCTCCCCACAGGGACCCTCAGCCTCCAGCTTCTGTCTGACAGGAGGGGTGTGAGTGCCCCACGCCAGCTGTGGAGCTTCTCTGAGCAGTTGCTGACCTCCAACCTGAAGTTTCCATTTCAAAGCAGTCTTTAATTTCTGTTCTGTTTGTTTACTGTGTCTGTCACATCTCACCATCTGTATGCAAAGATTGCTCTTGGGACTCACACCTGGCCCTCCCAGTTACTGATTTCTTAGTTTAACAAAAGAATGACAGATCTATATGCCAAATGAGAGAATTTGGAACTGTAGTTTGGATAGGCATTTTCTACATAATGTGAGAAGAAAACAAAGGAATTTGACCCCCCAAAAAAGCAAACTGACCCTCTGGAGACTCCTGTGTTAGCACTTGAGAACTGACCAGTACAGTCCTATAAAACGAGCCACAAAGATGGTGTAGGAAACATTACTACGCGGCACACTGAGCACTCTAACCGGAAAGGCTGTCTTACCTACCCAAATGGAAGACATAAAGCATGTTTGGACACAATAGCAAGGTTCAAAGACACCTCCCATTTCTCCCCCCATTTTTATTTAGCCCTTCTGTAATGTTGATTTTTGCATTTTGTATTCATCTTTTTTTTTTTAGAAAAAAATGTCATCCTTGGCACAGGCCCTCCCGCCTACCTTAGGCACACATTAGAACAGGTATTTTCAAAATGTGTCCCCGGGACCAGCAGCATCACTTACAAACTTAATAGCAAATTCTCAGGCCTGACCTGAGAACCACTGAGTCAAGTTCAGAAGGCTGCGGGGCAGCTTTCTGGAGGGTTCTGACCTGCGCTAGTACGTGAATCATTGTCACCCAGCACAGTGAAGTGTCTTTACCCGACTGCAACGTTCTAGCCAAGCCCATGCTTGTCACTGATATAATTTTAAGAAACTGCAAAATAAATATCCATGTACATTTGCCATGTGTTTTCCCAGTAAAAAAGCTGAGAAGAAATGTTTTTCAAAATGGATGAAGTTGCCAGTGTTTGCCTCTTTCTCCACAAAGACAAACCCACATAATATTACATGGCTGTATTTTATCTGAGTGACTGCGGGAAAACACTAGAAACCCAGCAGGAGAGAGAGTAGCACTGTGTAAGATTAAGAACCCTGGGATAACGGAATCCCCAACATGTACACCTTGGCTGCATACCTGAGGGAACAGAGGGCTCCAGCAGACTATCGCTCTGGATGCTGTCAATCTTAGCTACGGTAAAGGTGCACAATCCTCACAGGCCTGAAGCCCACATAGACAAGTAACCTGCCGTGTGCACAGCCTTCCTCTGAAAGTGTATCTCACATCACATCAGCTGCAGGCTGCTGTTGTAGCCAGGAGCCACCTGGAGATAGATGTGAATTGTGATGTGACCTTGGACGATTCTAAGTGTCAGAAACCCTTGGATGTTCCCGTCACAGGGAACTCCCAAACATTCTACTATGCTGACTTCACAGGAAGCTGCCTCACACAACTTGCCCCAAGAGAGTGACTGAAGCCTGCTGGGTGCCCTGTGCTGTAGTGAGTGAGGAGGAATGGAGGGCACCACCCCTGAGACCCGGGAGATAGGTGACTTTCACTCATGTGCAAGAATGCCAGCCATATGTAGACTCTCACAAGTGTCGGGACCGAAGGCAGGTGCCCACACTGTTCCATCTGCCCCTCTACCATGGGGCTCCTCAGGGACATGAAAAAGGAGGCTCCCCTGCGCAAGAAGAACTTTGCCCTGCTTTAGCCATGTGCCACTGCTGGATGGGAGTGGGAAGGAGCCCTGGCTGTCACCCTTGTCCTGAGTTCACAAAGCTCAGCAGGGCCAACGTCGCACTCCTACTTGGGCACAGCCATAGCAGTGACAGAGAGAAACCCCATCATTTCTGCTACCACCCCCGCAAATGCAGAAGTTGGAGCAGCACTGTGCCTTGTCTGACTGTGTACTGCTGTCAGGACTGAGTACGAGCACCACGGCATGGGTTTGGTGTTTCCTGCATCCGTCCCCTGTGCATTTTCAGCCCTGCACACTCGACTGATAGTAAGCAAGTGCTTCAAGCTCTTTACTGCTGAGGGGAATGCGTCGGTCAGAGACCCTTGCCGCTGTCACAGCGAGCACCCACAGTGCCGAGGAACCCTCAGCACGAGGGCCCGCCACTCGCATTGGAAGAGTCACTGCATTATGAGCACCTTACAGCCACTGTTGGCAGCACCACACCTGCCTGAACTGCTAGAGTTTTCCCCACTCTCACTCCTGTGTGGTCAGCAGAGACAGAGGGTCTCTGAATCCACCAGAGTGTGCACTGTGCTCAAACCCACTAAATGTAGCCAGAGAAGCCAGAGGGTGACAGCACTATGACCCCAGCTAGAATTAAAGACAGCTTGTTTAATTGCCACCCCCAAGACACACTTCAGAAGAAAGCTGCTTTCTAAGGAAGCATCTCCTAAAAGTAGTAGTGACAGTCACCAGATGCACAAATCCTAACAAAGAAACATGAGCACATGAAAAACAAGGTAATACAAGATCGCCAAAAGAAGGTATCTTTCTAGCAACAAATTCCAAAGACATTAAAATGGGTGAAATACCCAATAAAGAATTTTAAAAGCATAGTTAAGAAAAACTACAGTGGAACCTTGGTTTATGAACTTAATTTGTTATGATTTTGGAAAAGATGGCCATGTTTGTGTTTGTCATCCAGTACAGAGTATGCAAACAAATACAGAATTTTGCCATACACTTCTGTTTGTAAATCAAACTGTTTATAAACAAAAGTGTTTGTGAACCAAGGTACCACTGTATGAGTTATAGCAGAGTAAAAGTGGGAAATTCATCAAAGAGCTTTTGAAAAACAACCAAACAGAAATCTTGGAAATGATGAATTTAGCCAGACAAAAGTGCTGTTGATGTAGTCTTTTGATGGGACTTTCAAGGAAAAGGAAAATCTGAATTTAAAGAGAGGTATTTTAAATATCCCATTCAGACACAAAAGAAACAATGGTAAGGGCATCCAGTACTTTGAAACATTAGAAAAAATCATCTACATCTTTGGGATACTTGAAGACAAGCAGACAAAGATAGAAAACTTCCCTAATCTTGGAACAGACATAGACTGCAGGAACAGGAGTAAACATCACCGGAAGAAAAAAAATCACAGCATATTATGTTTTTACTGCCAGAAGTCTAAGTACCATGCCACTTTAAGAGTACTTTTTATACTGACAGCATATTTCTCAGCAGGAACTCTCAGACCAGGAGGGGATGGAATGATATATTCAAAGTCCCGAAACTAACTGAAACTGAAATACTATGTACCCAACCAGAGTATCCTTTAGAAATGAGAAAGGAATAAAGACCTTCCAAGATAAACATAAGCTAAAGGAATTCATGGCTGTTCATCAACTCTGCAAAAGATGCCTAAGGTAGCCTTATTTCCAGAAGCAAAAACTTTATTTCCATGTGTATTCATGTTGGCAATTAAGTTTTTCTTAAAAAAGTAAATTAAAAAAAAATTAGCAGTACAGTAAACTACCAAACTATAGATAAACAAAGAAAAAGAAAGTATTTAAAACAACTAAAAGAAAATCATTAAAATGACAGGAATAAGTTCTTAATTATCAGTTATCACCTAATTGTAAATGAAGGAAATTCTTTAGTTAAAAGATAAAGGCTGGCTAAGCTAACAATATGCTACCTGTGAAAAATTAATTTCCCAATTAAAGACACAGAGACTAAAAGTGAAAGGATAGAAAATGATATTCTAAGCACATGGAAACCTAAAAAACGAGGAGTATTCTAATGTGTGATAAAATAGACATTAAGACAAAAACTGTAAGAACAAAGAAGGCCATTATATAATGATCACTGGACCAGTTCAATAAGATATAATAGTTACAAATCTATGTATCGGCCTAATGTCAGAGCACCCAATTTTATTAAGCAAACACTATTAGTCTTAGAGAGATAAGCTCCAATAAAATAGAGTGAGGAATTTTAGCAACTTACTTTCACCGATGGACAGATTGTCCAGACAGAAAAGTCAGGGGACACCAGAGTGAAACCATGCTATAGACCAAATGGACTAAGCACGCAAATTTCTTTAGAATGAACAATATATTAAGCCACAACATTTATTATCCAAAACAGAGAAACCGTATTCTGTGTATTTTCTGATAACAATGGAAAACACTAAAAGTTAAAAACAGAAACTTTAGAAATTATACAAATAAATGGAAACAACATTGGAATGAACAGTAGTTCACAGGAAGTGAGAAAGAAAAATTTAAGCAAAACTTACAGGATGCAGCAAAAACATTGTGTAAGAATTATGACAGAATGCCTACATTAAAAAAGAGATTTTGGGACAAGAGATTTAGCTCAGTTGCATAAGCACCTTGCCTGGCAAGTACGAGGTCACGAGTTCAATCCCTGGTACCAAAGAAAAAAGAATTAAACATGTAACAAGAACATCTTGAGGACTTAGAAAAGCAAAAACCAACCAACCTAAAATTATTAGAAGGAAAAATGAATACCCGAAATCAATGAAATAAACTAAAATCATACAAAATATCAGTGAAACAAAAAAAAAAATCTGTTCTTTGAGAAGATAAAAGTCAAACCTTTAGCTAGACCAGCCACGAAGAAAAACCCATATAAAATTAGAGCTTAAGAAAGGAGACATAATTGTACCACAGAAATGGAAAGAACATAAGCTATTTTGAGAAACTGTTTCAAACTGGAAAACTTAGAACACATGGACAAATTTCTGTCATGCATCAACTACCAAAACTGAACCAAAGACTTAATCCCGAATAAATCAGTACAAGGTGTAATTGAAAGATACGGTGACTGTTTAAATTTAAAACTCTTTTCAGCAAAAGACATTGCCAAGAACAATGGGATAAGTGTTTTCAAAGTGGAGTGTTTTGATTATTTTGAAAGGAATGAATGACAGTGTGTCTTTTTACTGTAATTTAAACTTTTTAAAATTATTTTTAATTTCTTACCACTCTGAAGTCATCAAATATTTATGCCAACTTCCATCAAATAAAAACATCGCAGTGCATCCTCGTTCACCTTATTTGCTTGATCTGACACCCTGTGACTTCTGACTGTTCCCCAAATTCAAAATAACTATGAAAGGCACGCACTTTGATTCCGTTCCCATGGAGGCAACCATGACCATGCAACTAAAGAGATAACAAGAAGAGATTTCCAGAACTGCTTCAGAAAGTGGCAGAGACTGTGGGAAAAGTGTATCCAAAGTGGGGACAGTATTTAAGGAAAACTGAAGGCAATGTGTCTGTTACTGTCATAAATTTTTAAATGTTTTTAAAAGATAACAAACCCAGCAGAGTAAAGGCACTCAAAACGAAGCAGTGAAATTGGTACAGAACTTCAAAGCAAGATAACAGGAAAACAGCAATGACCACTATAGTATATCTTGTTATCTTCACAATAGTTGTCCATTCCATCAGGTGTAGCAAAATCAAACCAAAACAAAACAGAGTAAAACCAATCAAAACAGAATACTAAATAAAACAATCAGAATGAAGCAAAACAACAACATTGAACCTCAAAAACAAGATAGAAGGAATCCCCCATATTTGCTATACTGCATACTGTCATCCTCCCAACAGATGCCCAGACCCCTGGCCCCAGGGGTCACTGTGTTCACTGTGAACAATACAAGCATTCGGTTGCTTTTGTACCTCAGTTGCTATCAACTCAGCCTGTCTTCCAAACCCTCGTTACTTACGTAGGGCTGGGAGCATGGTTCTTGATTCTCAGTCTGTGGGCCAGCAGGCTCACCAGAGGTGATTTCTCTCTTCCTGGATGCCATGTGGTTTTTATGGCTTACCAGAAAGGCTGCCTGGTTGGCTTCTGGGTGGGAACAAAAATCAACTCAAGATGGATCAAAGACCTAAACTTAGGGTTCTGAAACTACTAGAAGAACAGAGGAAATCCTTCAAGATATTAGTATCAATAATGATTTTTCTAGATAGCCCTCCAAAAGCACAAGAAACAATTGCAGAAATTGACAAATGGGATTGCATTAAAAACTTCTGCGTAACAAAGGAAACAGCAAAGTGAAGGAACCTACAGAATGGGAAAATATTTCTAATTCATTTGACTAAATTAATACAAGAATATATAAAGAACTCAGACTTACTAAGAGAAGTAATTCAGTTTTAAAAGGGTGTTGAAGCACTGCTAGTCCTAGCTATATAGGAGGCTGAGGTAGCAGGATCACCCTAGCCCAGGAGTCTAGGGCTAGCCTAGACAATATAGCAAGAGTGCATCTCAAAAAAGGTGGAGATGGCAAATGATCTGAATAGACACTTCTAAGAAATACAAATGGCCAAAAAAGTTCAGTATCATTAGCCAGCAGGGAAATGCATATCAGGGCAAGCTAAAATGAGACACCATTCCATCCTTTTGAGGATTGCTGTTACCCAAAAAGCAATAATGCTTGCAAGAATGTGGATAAAAAAGAAGTCTTATACACTCTTGGTGGTACTTTAGGCCAGCTATTATGGAAAACACTTTGAAGGTCCCTCTGAAACAGCAGAAATAGATCTGCCATGTATATATCCAAAATAAATGAAATTAACACACCAAGGACTTCTCTGTACACATGACCAAGGTGTAGAATGAGCTTCTCAACAGATAAAGAGGAAATGTAGTATAATACACAACGTAGTATTAGCCATAAATGGGACTGAGAGCCTATCATTTGCAGCAAAATGGATGGAGCGGAAGGACATTAAATGAAATAAGCCAGACACAGGAGGACAAGTGCTGAATGTTTTCTCATATGGAAGCTATAAAAAGCCTGAGATTGGAATAGTGATCAGAAGAGATGGAATGGTGCTGGGGATGGGGAGCAGGAAGGGGTGGTCAGTGATCAGAGCATGCGTATATGGAAATGTCATATAGAACCCCACTAATAGGTACAATTAGTAATAGAAATGGGGAACAAGCTGAGGAGTCCTGAATTAAGGAGACCTCATTTATGAGTCCCCTGATGGTGTGAGCACAGAATACACTATCAGCAGGTGTTACCTGCTCATGTCTTGTTGCTAGCACTCTGGAAGCAAGTTTGAGAGAAGCTTCTGAAGAGAGCTTTGCCTTCTGTCCTGTGGGTGTCTCTTGTGCCCTACACAGAGGCACACAGTGGTCACACTGTGCCTGCCCCATTGAGAGAGTGTGAAACTTGAAGCCAATGCAGCTGGTTCGCCTGTCTTCCTTCTGTCCATTATGACTCCATCCTTACGTCGCATCCTTATTCTCAATTAATTCTGTGCAGGCGGCTCACTGAGCCCTACCTGAGCCAGAGTCTGCTGCTTGACCGTGCAAAGTGTGCCGCCTGCATCTCCATTCTTCTGTCTCTATGAAGTTCATGTAACTACGTCACAGATGGTGTTAATGTATTTCATAGTGCAAGTGTTTTTGCAAGGAACATTCATTATTAAACACTCTCCTGTCTGTCTGTACGAACCTATCCTACAGACCAGATTTTTCATTCTTTTGTTACAGTGGTCCCTCCATTCATGAACTTCGTTAACTCTTTCCACATTTCTGTTTGCAAACTGAATTGGACAAGAACCTAATCAAGCTTCCCCATAAGGTTAACATTGATGCTAACCATCGAATTTGATTTAGTTCTCATCCACTTTGGTTGGTGACCAGAGATGTGGAAAGAGTGAAGTTCATGAACTGAAGTACCACTGTATTTTCTTTAGATGTCAAAAATTATGAGTTTATTATAGAATTAAAGTTTCTGTCATTGAGTTTTGTCTTGAGTTACACCATTTCCCATCTTGCTTGTGTGATCAGTAAAGCATATACTAGCACCCACATACAATAGCTCATTTGCCCCTCAAAATGCAAAGGGTCAGAAATTCTGGAAAGTGAGAAAGTTCAATCACATTTCATAGGCAAACTGAACTCTTAGAATACAGGCTTCCCAGTCCTCAGCAGGTGGCACAGAATGTGCTCTGGGACGGCCTGCACTGGCATCTCTGTTCTGCCACTTTATAGCTGTGTGAGGTTAGGCAAATTAATGAGCCCCTCTCTCTGCCGCAGTTTCCTCTTCTGAAAAGTGAGTATAATGCGGCACCTACCTCCACGGTTGTAAATTTTTATACTGACTTAATGTAAACTGTTAAGTAGGATCCTATCCTACAGCAGCAGATGTTGGCTAGGGAAGAAAAAGCTAGAACTAACCTAGATGGCTCAGCCACAGCAGATAACTGCTGAGCCCTGAATGCTTCCTGCTCTGCTTTCCAAAGTAAAGCAATGCAATAGAATTTCTGTTACATTTAAAGCCACAAATTTTAAATCAACACTAGGTTTGAGCCTACGTATGGGGCCACAGTCTGGTTTTTGCACCTCAATCCACTGGCTTATAAGCCGTGACTGATCTCATAAAGCACAGAGACTTAAATGGATATTGTCATTTTTGCTCTGTGTTGCGGGCTAGCCCTGTTTCCCTGACACCTCTTTCTGATACTCTGATTTCTCATTCTGGTTGGCTTCCCCCACTTTCCATCTCACATCCAAATTTTATATTCTAATTTGTAGCAGGGCACTTGGATGTCATAAGTGATTTTCAGATGATTATTACACTAAGTGGATAAAATATCTTTAGCCTCATAATAATCACTTCAAAATCTTTTTCAGGATACTCAGTTTGTGTTTATGATATCCTTCCTCACTAGTGGGTCCAGGGCAAACAAAATTTGAGTTTCCATTGGTGGTGAGTCTGTTCTCCTATAAAAGGGTTCTTTCAAGTTACAGTGCCCTACAGGTAAAGACTTTTGACCAGCCAGTCTTCAGTTTGTGGCTTTAAACATGACAGAAATTCCCAGTGCATTACCTTACTTCAGAAGAGGCAGCAGGAAACCCCCAGGTCTCAGCAGTTACTTACCAGGCAGGTTGTAAAGGGCCCACCTGGGCAGTACACCCAGATTCCGCACAGGAACCTCTAGCACGGCACAGCTCCGGTTGAGGACCACTTCTCAGATGCACAGATGTTCCCACTGCCACATGCAGCAGTTAGGCTGACAGGCAGTTGCTGCCTTCAGTGTCTCCAGGGCAGAGGGTCTCCCAGGAACTCGAAACTGCCGGGGAGAGCTGTGGGGCTGCTGCGTGGGGACAGGGCTGCCCCACTTTCCTGGGTGTACTAGATTAGCTATTTGGTGTTTCAGTGGCTGTCTCATCCAGTTTCTCCACAGTGAGGGAGTGCAAGCAACACATTTTAGTTGTTAATAAGATAGAAGTCCTGCTGAGAGCAAAAAAGATTCCTGCCAGGTGAGTACCAAGGAATGTGGTCCAGCAGCTTTTCCTCCATACACCACACCCATCAAGACAGCGCCCACAGTTTGACCACTGATTCACCACTATTCATATAAGATCTGTGTGTGTATATTTAGCAAACCTTACAAAAAACCAGGAATTGCATTCCAGTATAGGTAATAATAATCATATTCAGCAGGCACAAATACGGCTCTTAATAATGCTATTTGAAGAGCTTTGCACGTGTTCATTTAGTCTCAAAACAGCCCCATAAGGTAGATACTATTTTTAAGCCTCACTTTAGAGATGAAAAAACTAAAGGACATAGGCATTAATCTGCTGCTCAAAGCTGCACAGCTAGTAGATGTCAGAGTCAGGATTTGGCTTGAGATAACCCAGTCCCAGCTTTTATCAACTATTCTATCTTTTAGTTACTAGCAAAGAGGAAATATGTCCATTTTTAGTTAGCTATAAACTATGTTAATGCTATATATACTTAAGGAAAAAGTATTGCTAGAGATGAAGAATAGCACTGAAAGTATCAGTTGAATAGGAAGATATACCATCCTAAATATAAGCCCCTTCTAACATAGCTAGATAAAGATAGATAAAGCAAAGATTGTCAGAACTAGAAGGATGCATAGACAAATCCACAGTAACAGCTGGAAATTTTAGCATGCCTTTCTCAACTAAATAAAGCAAATAATCAGCAGGCACACAGAAAATCTGAACAATCATCTTAACCAACAACTTCAGAATGTGTATTTTGATGTCTGTATGACAAATTCACCAAAGTTAACTGTGTGCTGCGTCATAACAGAGACTCAGCAAATGTCAGCAGATTGAAATCACACACAGTTTGCCTTCTGACCGTAATAAAATTAATGCAGAAACCAGTACCAAAAAATAACTAGAAAATCCCCTGGTGTGTTGAAATTAATAACACAATTCTGAATGACTCAAGATTCAAAGAAGAAATCAGGTGAAATCATGAAGTATTTTAGTGGAAAGCAGTAAATGTAGCATGCCAAGATTTGTGGGATGAAGCCAAAGCCATGCTTACAGGGAGAGTCATAGCTTTAAACATAAGAAAAGAGTTTGAGAAGCCATAGTTTAAGTCTTTATCTCAAGATACTGAAAAAGCGGGCAAATTAAGCCCAAAGAAAGCAGATATAATCTAGGCTAGACTCTATATAGTAAGAAAATAAACATACTATAAAGTAGAATTAAAAGCAGAAATTCTTTGAAAAAGTCAATTGCCATTAAGCGTAAGAAGCACCTCTGTACATTTCCTTCATCCCACCTCCCTCACCACATATTAAATCCTGATTTGGGACATAATTTATCTTACAAGTAGGTGTTTGTTTGTTTTTTTTAAAAAACCAGTCCTCCTCCCACCACAATGCTTTATACCACAAGTATTGATCTGTCCGCTCCCTTTTGGACTTTGAGTCTCTGCAAATTTCTTTTCTAACTGTTCTCCTGTCTTTGTTTGTTCCATGCTAAGCAGATGGCCCAGAAATTAGCCAAAAGCAGAAAGAAGGTGCAGTACAAACAACTTCATCAGCTTGGTGTTATGCCTGTTTCTTTTTTTTTTTTTTCATTTGTTTACATTTTGCCTTTTTATTATTTCGTGTTTTTGTTTTCTGCATCCAGCAACTTTTTGTTCAGATTTCTTTTTGAACCGCCCCATAAACCAGCGTTTCTCAGAACACTGTTGCCTCAATTGGCTGTTTTCTGTTACTCATGAGTCATTTCACTTCAGAGGAACGACAGGGCGCAGATTGGAGATGCTAAATGGACCCCATAGTAGTGTGGAAGTTCCAGTCATTTAGGAGCAATGACGTGACAGGGGTTTGGGTCTGTCCAATTCTAGTTATGTTTGATTTGGGGATATGTCAGATTGCTGGATGCAAAAAAGAAAACTCGCTAATAACCACACTTGTGCAGAGTTCAGCCCTAAATGAATCCCGCTGTGCTTTTTTTTGGTTGTGGAGCTTCTAGGTGCTTATGAACTATTCTGGGGATGTTGCTGTGTGGGGGCTCTGTCATGATGGGGTGGCTTCAGGAGTGGGCAGCTGCTTCTGTGTTGCTCTGGTGGTGTGTGAACGTGGAGACCCTCTTACCAGAACCGCATCTAAACGGCTTCATTCGCACCTGCTGTAAAGATTGACCTCCATCAGCCCAAGCATGGGCAAACTCTAAAAGACTTGCTTCGGGGTCATGGGTGTGTTAGTCACCCTTAACCCTTTGGTGTCTAAAACCCTTGCAGAAAGGGCCATTTCCCATCATCGGTCGGTCAGATCTGCTACGTGAGTTTCTGCTTCTATAGGGGAAGCAGCAGAAAGAGTTCTGCCTCTTCCCCAGTAATGCAGAGATGCCGACCCTCATCCGTATGTCCATCCACTCTGTGATGGCTTTGGCCTTGGCAGTTGGACCCTGGAGTCTGCGTTGCCGTTCTGGTGACTGTGTCTTAGTGCCTCTGTGTGTAAGCTAGCCTTCTCATTCACCCGAGACCAGGTAATAAGACCAACTCTCTCTTGGTGTGTTTTTCTTCGCAGGCTCCTGAAGGGGAATCTCAACCCATGACTGAAGTGGATCTCTTCATCTCAACCCAGAGAATCAAAGTGTTGAACGCTGACACGCAGGTACCAGCTGCTGCCGTCTTCTGCCGAGTGAAGCCCATAGCATCGCACTGCAGTTTATGCCTGTTGCCCCCCAGAGGCTGGCTGCTAGATAGATTCATATGTAGTAACCTATAGCACCTGCTGCTGGGTGGGGCTGGGCTGTTTCCTTATAACTAATGTGGACACATAAACCTTTTAAGAAATTTTGTTTAAAATGACACATGTGCTGGGCGTGGTGATACATGCCTACAAGCCTATATCTCCAGTAAGCTGAGGCAAGAGGATCACAAGATTGGGCCCAGGCCCTGCAATTTAGTGATTTATCAAGATCCTGTTTCAAAATAATACCAAGTGGGAGACCAAGGGTATAACTCTGTGTAAAGGCTCTGGGTTCAATTCCCGGCATTGACTGACAAAGAAAAAGAAAAATCACATGCATATGAAAACAATAAATATTTGAAACTTCTTGTCGGTTACCACAGATCATTTTTGCTCGCTAGCCTAGGGAAATACTCTTAGACCTGGGGGTTGTGCACAAACCTGCCAGTCAGGTCCTTTTGGTGAGCCCTGGAGCACACCCGAAATATGTGCACTGAAGCTGGCCGAGCTGCAAGGTGACAGACTGTCTCCCACATGGGTCGTGCGATGCCGAGCCAGGCTTACCCTTTGTGCCCCTCTGCCTCCAGGAGACGATGATGGACCACCCTCTGCGGACCATTTCCTACATCGCAGACATCGGGAACATCGTCGTGTTGATGGCACGCAGGCGGATGCCCCGCTCCAACTCCCAAGAGAACATGGAGGCGTCCCACCCATCGCAGGATGGGAAGAGGCAGTACAAGATGATCTGCCATGTCTTCGAGTCTGAGGATGTAAGGGGGGCTTTCCCAGACCTGCCTTCGGGTGGCCTGAAAAACCAGTGGGTGCCCGGATTCAAATACTCAGCAGTCAAATCAGTCGAACGCATCATACATTAAGCATGTTGTTACTACTGTACGGCAGCTGATGTTCTAGAGCCGAAGATACAAGGCTGAATAAAACCTGCCATAGGTGTGCAGTTGAAGGGAGAGAAAAATAAACATTCTTAATGTAAAATTAGGTAGTGGGAGGTGCTTTGCAGAAAAATAAAATAGGATCAAGGAGTAGAGAGATGGAGCTGTTTCCAGTGGGACAATCAGCAGAGGCCTCTCTTAGGAAGGTGACATTTGAGGAGAGACCTGAATGAAGTGAGTAAGGAAAGAGCACAGGCAAAGACTCTAACCAAGTGCAATTCCCAGAGGCAGTTTGTTTGAGAAGGGAAAGGAAGCCTTGCTCCTGCAGAGGTTGGAAGAAGGGTGGACAGACCCAGGTTGTAGGGGCCTGAGCATGCCTCACTGCACCGGGGGGAATTTGGAAAGCAGTGTTCATGGCTGTCCTGGGGGTGACAGGAACACTGGTATCCCGCCCTGGTAGCTGTACCACCCACCTGTCCACCTGACCCAGTCCTTAGTGAAGCCCGCTCCTCCCTCCAGCAGTTCCCAGTCCCCTCTACTAGGTGACAAGGCAAACGCTGAAGAGCTGGGTGACAACAGATGTTATCCCTTCATCTGGCCTTAGTCCAGGGTGGTCCCAGCACTGCTGTGAGGCAGCCAGGGTTTAAACCTACCCACCCTGCGGCCCCAGAGCTCCCTTCCCAGGCAGGGCCAGAGTTTGAACTGTGTGGCCACCCCAGCCCTGCAGAGGGCCACGTCAGAGCTGTGATGGGGGTCACTTCCCCCATGTAGGGGAAGATGACCTTAGACTCCTGTGGAGCAGGAAGCATCCACTGTTTACCTGCTGTGATAAACAGCCTCCCTCCCAGGAGACAGAGTGAGCTACTTTTCTCTTTGATGGAAGAAGCAGTGGACTTTCACAGCAGGAGGGAGGGGCTGGTGCTTGGTGTGACTTTTGACATACAAGTCACCAGATTCCCTGAGAAAAGTGAAGCATTTCTTGTCCTGTTTACACAGAAAGCTCTGGCTTTGCTGTTAATTAGTTGCCTTGACTGACAGTTGGCCAAAGTGGAAAAAGGAGTAGAGGTTAGGATTGTGTTTCCTGAACACTGCCCTAGGAAGTGTTGCTTGCATTCTCCTGCCGTCAGAACTTCAGAAAGGCCATCTGAGGGTGAGCCGCAGAGGCTCCGGATTCAGTCCCCAGTACCCCTTCTCCGAGACTGGCTACTTAATCCGTCATCCTCTATTTTCCTGATCTCTTCAATGGAGATAGTATTACAAACGCCAAGGCTTCTTGCAGTCCACTGGCTGATAAATGTGATTTGAACTGCCCCAGGCAGTTTACAGGATTGACAAGTCCATCATAAGTCTGATAGATTTTGCAACAGAAATGTTACCGTGTTCATTTGTAGGACAGCTCCCCAGAGGTTGGTGAACGATGTCCAGGATATATCCAGTGCCCAATATATGCACCCTCTTACCTTAATAGCATCTCCGCAGATTTCAAATTCTGAAACATGGATTCCAGAGTGTCAGCCACACGCTCCAACCCTAGCGGGACATGAGGATTTACACTGAGTCCTGAGGTGCAGAACAGACACACAGAGAGTTCTCAGGTGCTCTTGGCTATTCTGATTAATAGTGCTGCTTAATGGGTACAGGGGAGAGTCACCAAAGCCTGATGCATGGAAAAGGGCAGTGGAAGCAGAGTTCACCTCCTGGGAGCTTTGTGACCTCAGGCAGGTTCCTCTGTGTCCCTAGAGCTCAGTTTCCTCACCTGGAAAATACAGGATTGGACCAGATCAGGGTTCCTGACTCTGTTGGGTCTAACACAACCTTTTGAAAAGTTTTTTGCAAAATAATCAATGTATGGCCATAAACATAAGACAAAGGAGAAATAAAAAGAAATCAACCCAAGGTAAACTCTTAGCAAAACACCTAAATGCTCAGGTCTGCCCACTCCAGAAGCCATAGCAGAGACCTCAGATACTCGCATCTACTTGATTAATAAATCTGGCTGCAGGAGAACATGGTATTCTGTGCAACAGGGTCAGTGCTTTCTAGGAATGGTGGATAAAGAGCATGAACATGGAAACATGCAGATCAGCCTCGGTGAATGTGCTGGTACATAGAGAGGTGATGTGTGAGCAGCTCAGTTTCCATGGTGCTTTCCCAAAGCTAGGCAGCTCACTTCTGGCAAAGTCCTAAATAAAACAAAGGACCATCTTTAATTCATACAGTATTTAAACATTCAGTGTAGGGCTGGGGGTTTACTTCAGCGGCACAAGCGCCTACCTGGTAAGCACAAGGTCATGACTTCAATTCCTGGTACCAACAACAACAACAAAAAATTCAGTGTATATCAGAATCACACAATGAGTTTTTGTGTTTATGCATCTGATAGGGTTCATTCCTGGAAACAAATGATTGGAAACAGATGTTACATGCATACACGCATCCAGCAGGATATTTGAAAACCACATTTAGGGCTGGGGAATTTAGCTCAGCAGCATAAGTGCCTGCCTGGCAAGTGTGAATTTGATCCCCGGTACCACCAAAAAAAAAAAAAAAAAGCCACATTACAGAACCACCTGTCACCATGAAGAGCATCCCCATGTATAGCAGGGTGTTCATCTCTGACTCCTGTCTGCACTGTTATGATTGTTATCATAATCGGAAGTATCCCTGAAAATCTTGAAAATGGCTCCTGGTAGGCACTGGTGCCCCTGATGCAGAACCTCTGGCCTACCTGACATTGCAGGGCCCCCAGACTGCAGAGAGTTCTAGTGGGGATGGGAGAGACACTAGGCATCCTCCTGCAGCTCTGCCGCTGAACACTGTCTTCCCCTCTGGCTGCTGTTCTAGGCCCAGCTGATTGCACAGTCCATAGGGCAAGCGTTCAGCGTTGCATACCAGGAATTCCTCAGGGCCAACGGGATTAACCCAGAGGACCTCAGCCAGAAGGAGTACAGTGACCTGCTCAACACCCAGGACATGTACAACGACGACCTGATCCACTTCTCCAAGTCGGAAAACTGCAAAGATGTAGGTACTTTCCTGCAGCTGGGCTGGCTAGGAGGGGCCTTGGGGAGAACGAGACAGCTCTGAGGTGGAAGTGAAGAGAACAGAGACTGCAGGGCAAGACTTTGGCAGGACACTGGAGCGGCTCGTGCCTGTTCTCCAGCCTTCCATTCCCTGTTAAATGCTGTCAGGAACTGATACCGAGAGGCAGCACATCCTCTCTGGTCCCAGGAATCCTAACCCCCATTTTGAGTGGGTTCTAGAGGCAAGTTAGAGCCAGCCTCTGCCCATATGAAGCCCTCAGGCTCAATAAGAGCACTGAAAATGATTAGCGATGGCTCCAGTCCAAGCACTGGTCAAAGCCAACCGTCCTCAGCCAGACAGAGCAGAACACAGCTTCAGGAGACAGACTGTGAGGGCACCACTGCTTTAGGCCAGGTTGTCCAGCCGTGTCCGGAGGAAGGTAAAGCTGCCGAGCTGGTCTGAAGGGCCAAGAGTTACTTAGAACATGTAGGGGCAAGCAGAGAGCTGAGCTCAAGGAACAGCAGAGAACTGTGAAGGGGATTTGCTGGGGAATCAGTTAGGAAGATGGTGAGTGAGGGAATAGAGGAAGCTAGAGATCAGCATAAGATCTGGGTCAGAACCCAAGTAAGACTTTGCAAGTCTTACTACAGGATTAGTCATTCAGAGAACTAAAGAATGTTTAGCGACAGAGCGTTCTTTTGATCCACTGGTGTATGGTAGGTGTCTCAGGTCAGAAGCAAAGCCTGAGACTCTTGCTGAGGAAGTGTAGTGGAGACCCATACACAGAACAAAACGGGAGCAGGGTACTGGGCACCGAGGGAGAGTGTGGCCTCCCAGAGCAGGTGACAGCTTCCTCCTGATCCAGAGGAAGCGCTAGCTTACACATTCCTGGACAGTTTTGTCCCACTGTAGGGTGAGGGAGCTAGCTGGTCTCTGTACCCGGTGTCCCTCGTGGGTCACAGTTGGGCACAGGATATGTTAGTTTATTGCAACAGACTGCCACGGACTTTATGGTTTCAACAGCAGGTGTGCGTGTCTCAGGTCTGGAGGCCACAGGGCAAGATCAAGAAAGCACTGATTGCCAGGCATGGTGGCACATGCCTGTAATCCCAGCACTCTGGAGGCTGAAGCAGGAGGATTTTTGGGGGTTCAAGACCAGCCTGGGCTACAAAGTGAGTTCAAGTCCAGCCTGCACTGTGAAACACTTCCCTGCCGACTCCAGATGCCAGAGGCCATGAACACAAGAGCTCACTTGGACCGGAGTCCGTTGGCAATGTCTGCCTGTTTTCCCAGACCAGATTAGAATGGCTTTGATTCCTGTCCTTCCTGATGTCTGATTCAGGCATTCTAAGTGTTTTTCTTCTTTCAGGTTTTCATAGAGAAGCAGAAAGGAGAAATCCTGGGCGTGGTGATTGTGGAGTCTGGCTGGGGATCCATCCTGCCGACCGTGATCATAGCCAACATGATGCACGGTGGCCCCGCAGAGAAGTCAGGGAAGCTGAATATCGGGGACCAGATTATGTCCATTAACGGCACCAGCCTGGTGGGCCTGCCTCTGTCCACTTGCCAGAGCATCATTAAGGTACGAGGACATGGGAAAAGCCAGTCTCCTTGTCTCGCAGATGGGAAATTACAGTAGTGTGAGTACACTCTGGTCATTAATGTTTATGAAGGTGTTTTCCAAGTGTCAGGCTTTGACAAGGACACAAACATAAAAACTGACGTGCAGTCAGACAGCGTAGCTTCAAGTTAGGCTTCCCAAGTTCTTCCACAAGTTTTGTTTAGATCAGGGCAGTGTTAATACCATAGCCATAGCCACCACAGCTATCACTGATCTGTCACAGTTCAGTATTCCAGACAGCCCTTACAGTCAGGAGAACGTGAGATGATTACCTCCCCATTAAAACTCCCGGAAATGTTCCAGATCTGAGAACACCAAGGCGCAGGCAAGTCTGTCTCTCCCGCAGAGCCTTGAGCAGGGGCCTGTAACAGGGCACATATGCCCTCTCAGACCTCTGCAGGCGTACTCCTCACCCTGAGCTGATGCAATTATACATGCCAAGGAGAGCCACCTAAAAGAAATTAAATGCAAGTGTTTCAGGGCAAGAAATTAGATTTTCTTCTTAGAAATGAAGCATCTGTGTGTGGTCTCTCAAGCCCACTGGTGCTTGATAACCACGTGGCCAGTGTGTGGAATTCCCCCCCCCCACCCTCCATGGAGCCCCCACACGGCACTGCAGTGTCACAGGCAGACTGGGATGCACAGCTTTGCCACATCCCCGGGGTTTTGTGAAAGACTGGTAGCATGCAGCTTTGGGGAGAAAGGAATAAATCCATATGGCGAATTTACAAAGCCATCCTCTCCACGGAAGGGAAGGGGGTAGTGTACATAGGTGAGTGTACGTGGCTCGGGGGCAGTGGCCCCTGTTCATAAATAAATTCTGTCCTTTGGCCTAACACACAGGACTCAGCAGTCACGGGTCTTATGTTCCCAGAAATGTGTCATCAGGCAGTTCTGTCATTTTACAGCTGTGGAAGACGTACACAAACCGAGTCCATCCCTAGGGTTGGCCTCTCTCTTGCTGCAGGCAGCACACACAGTAACCATGAGCTCTGTGAGGCTCTGCTCATGTCACACAGCACACGGAGCACTGCCCTCCAGAATAGCCACAGAGGGTGTCACATCGTGAATGCATTCAGCATCATAGCTGAGTATCATGTGCTGTACCTAAGTGTGTGTGCTGTTTTGGGTTTTGGTATCTTCTTTTTCTCTTGGGTGCCCTCACTCATGCTTGATGAGTGCCCTGCCACCAGGCTACACTGTAGCCCTGGGCTCCCAGTAGAGGCGTGGATACCAGTATTGCCACAAGCGCACACACAGTGAGTTGTGTGGTGGTGTTAGCACAGCCACAGGGTCAGCGTCCACTTCCTTATCCCGTAATCTCGCTGTGCTGTTGTGCTCTGTGGTTAACTAGATGTGGCCATGCAGAATCATGAGACGAGAGACTCCGTTCTGAGCATGAATGTCCATCAGGCTTGTCGAGTGGGGCTTCTGTTAGGTGCTGAGCTGAGTTGTGGAGGGGCCGGAGTGACAGTGTATGAGGAGAACTGTGTCACTGAGAGGGTTTCATGGTCCTTAAAAGGCTGTGAGTGTTCAGAAGTGGAAAAATTTTGTACCATGATATTTAAATTGACCTTGAAGAGTAGAATCTAGATTGTGAGGAAGAAGGGATTGTGGACTTTAGAAGTCTCCACTTAAATTGGTGGACAGGGAGCTGACGGGTTGGAGATAGGATCTGAGCCTAGCCATGGGAGCCCATCTGGGGTTGCTATGGTGATGTGGGGAGGGGAGAGCTGCCCAGAGCAGGAAGTAGCAACCCACCCTGACATCTCTGTGCCCCCAGTGAACAAGTGATTTACTAATCACTTCCCATACAGCCTGGACACTGCAGATACTGATGATGGTGGGGAAAGGGCACGGGTCTCACAGGGAAAAGGGACAGACTGGGGCCTACAGTGATGAAGTGCTGTACTGAGAGTGCACATGGACGGCAGCTCACTGAGCCCACAGAGGCCTCCTGTGGGGCAGACACTTATTTCACCTGTGGTACAATCTGGAAACTGAGGCACAGCAGTGATGCAGTAGACCATTGGTAAAGCCAGTAGATAACCTGCCTCTGACTCAGAGCTGTCCCAGGGAGGGCCTTTGGTCAAGTGCTAGATCCAAGCTCAGGACCTTAGCTGAGGGTGATCTCGCACACTTCAGATGGCCTGGAGACAGCCTCAGTTGTCATCCCAGAGGAAACAGTGCCAGAAGCATCCAGTAGGTGGAGACCAGAGACGCTGCCCAGAACCCTGTAGAACACAGGACAGACCCCAAAGCAAAGAATTCTCCAGCCCCAGATCCCCAGAAAGCCAGGCTTGGGAAACCCTGCATCAGTGTTGGAGCTCCGTGGGAGAGGGAAGTTAGGAGAGGGAGGCCAGTGAGGAGGGCTGATCGGGCAGAGGGTAAGAGGGCAAGAAGACGGGTGAGTTGGACTGAACATGTCCTTCAGATGCGGATACTGAAGCCCTAAGCCAAAGTGGTGACATCAGAGATGGGGCCTTTGGAGGGGATTTGGTGATGAGGGTGGAGCCCTTATGAATGGGATCAGTCCTCTTACAAAAGGAACACCAGAGAGCTCTCTGGCCCTGTTGTCCACATGAGAATGCAGCCAGAAGTCCGCTGTCTGCAGCCCAGAAGAGGACTCTCACAAGGACTCAGCCATGCTGGCCTTGCCCGCTGTGCGAAGCAACTTCCATTGTCTAGAAGCCACCCAGGCTGCAGTGCGTGTTAGGACAGCCTGCGCTGGCTGAAGCAAGAGGCCGCCCAGAATGGAGGTGGGAAGAGGCCTGACAGGAGGCGCCAGTCCTCTCACAAAGGTGAGACCAGATGAGGGCCACGTGGGGCGCTGTCGTCACCGGGTCAAGGTGGAGAGAATGAAAGGTTTGTTCCATCGCTGGACTTGAGTGTCTGTGAGTGGAGTCTCCGTGGTTAGATGAATGTGCCATGAGGAGAGAGACAGAACCGCTGAAGAGAGAAACAAACCGCTGCCTTCATGGCTGCCCTCAGCCAGCGCCGGCTCACGGGCAGGCCCCAGCTTGGACCACTGAGCTTTCCCCACATCCTGGACCAGCAGCTTTGCTGAGAACTCAGGGGGCCCCTCTGTGGCTGTCTCAGCCAGGGAGGAAAGCTTTACCACTCACTCAGAGCTGGCATTGCCAGTACCAGACGCAGACTGACTTTCAGTGGGCTTATTAATGTAGTTTCAGTTCTCTAGATAGCACGTTGTTGCCTACATCTGCACAGGTGCCCTCAGCTAACCCCTGGCCACTTCAGAGGGTGTCTGGGCGTCAGAGCCTCCTGTTCCTGTGGCTTTCAGTGTGTCTTAGGACTCTGCAGTGACTTTAGCAACTAACTCAAGCTCTTACAAATCAGTGTTTCTCAAACCGACGGAAGCCAGCCAGGGGTCCTGTCTGAGTACAGCTCTGATTTGGCAGGTCTTTTTACATTTTCAGCAAGCACCCGGGGTGACATAGTTCTGGTATCCCACCAAGACTACAGGAAGCAGTGGATATTTCTAGAGTTACAGATACCGAGCTTTCTAGCTCTTACTGTTCCTGTTACAATTAATTCCTGTAGCATAATCATTAGTAGGTGAAGCATGTCAGTGTCTGTTTCTGGATATAGTGTTTCCTCCATGGTCCTCTTTGGATTTTTCTGTTTTAAACTGGAGCCCAGGTTCCGTACCCCTCACAGGAGCACCGCTCGCTGCTCTCCTGTTACTATGGAGACCAGTCTGGCTTCTGTGCTCTCCTCTCCTCCCTGTCCTCCTCCCTCCATTTTTCTTAATTTGCTACACCATTCCACTGTTGTCATGGGAATGGAAGGACCATTTATTTAATTGGCACCGCTAATAAAACGCCACCTCAGGAATGTAAGTTAATGGGACCCAACTTGAAACACAGCTTAGGAAAACAGCAAATACATGGTCTCCTTATTTCAAATTGCGGATTGCCTAAGCCTCATCTTGCAGCACGTTTTTCCCAGTCCTGATATTCTCTCACTAAGGGACTGATGGGGCAGCTTCAATCAATTCATGTAAACAAACCTACCAAAGCGGTGTGCATTTCCTAGGGGACACTGAGAAAATAAGGTCACTTCCTTGCTTTTCAATATGGTCTGTAAGGTTTCCTCCATGGCACGGAATACCTAAATGATCCCAGCGTGGTTCTGCCTGAGGGTTGTTACTCCGGCAACATGCTCCTGACTTAGCGTTCTTAGCTGTGTGTCCCACAAAGTCCTGGTTTTGTGGTGCGAGATCACAGAAACAGAGGTGAAGCGACACCAGCGCACAGCCCTGCCCTGGTTCTGACGTTCCTGGTCCAGCCCTCCTGAGCTCCAGGATGTCCAGCGGCACCTTGCTCCACCCAATCTCCAGAGCCTAACACATTTCTTGACACACAGCAAGTGATCTGTGGGTTGTTTTTTAAGTGGCTAAAAAAGACAAAACACTCAAAGGAAAGAAACATTCATGTGAGTGATGTCTGAGCTGCACTTCATGAACTACAGCATACTTTCTACAGGAAAAACCTACTGATGGCAGGTAATAGGTTTTTTAAGTGGAATGGTTGAGATTTACTATTGCAGACTAAGCTATTTAGAAAAACACACATTAAAAGGAAGTAAGGAATTTGGAACAGGCAGAGACTTCAGGAAGTTTCACCGCATGCTGGGAAGATGAGAAACCTTAAGATATGAGTAAGGTAGAGCCTGCTGCAGCCCCGCTGCTTGTGCTTCAGGAAGCATGTCCAGAGCCTGGTCTTCTCACTTTGGTGCGGTCTCCCTTGCCAGGCTAGAATCGTGCCCATGAGGCTAGCAGAAAACCAAAATGTGCTCTCCCGTCCACAGGCATGACGGGAATGCTGTGGTGTAGAAGGCCAGGGTCTGCAGACTTTTCCACCCAGAGAACCACACGTGCCTCATACACACTTGCTCTTCGCTGAGACGGGCCCACTAGCAGACCCCTGTAACAATGAAATGAGTATGAGCACTGGGTCACCTAGTGTGACCTCACACCCAGTGACAGCTATTGATTGGAAGGCTCAAGTTCTCCAGGAAACAGAGCAGTTCAGAACAGCGAGCAAAGAGATGTCAAAGGTGGAGAAACTGAGTCCCACTCCCCTTGAGAGGACAGATTTTAATCATGCAAAACCAGAGGGAACCTAGAGAGAGCAGGACCAAGAGTAGCAGGAGGTCTGAAGAACTCTTCCCATGTAGTAAAGTGGCCTAAAAATACATCCCCAAGTCATGACTGGGATAAGAGATTCAGGACCATAGTTTCTGTTCTGTCCGGGGCTGCTGCTTCATGGAGCAAGCCTTAACCGTGGAACACCCCTCTCACCGCACGGTAGAGGAGAAAGCACTGTGGGTTTTGCAGATGACACATCTGGGATTGAAGCTGGCTGCTGGGAACATGATTGAGTCACTCTGTACCTCTGAGCCTCAACTTCCTCTTCTGTAGAATGAAGGTGATTATATCTGCCAGTTCACTGGGGAGATGAACTGAAACAGCTCCCGTGAATCTCCAGGTTGCCCCAGGCAGGAGTCAGTGTTCACTGTCAGGCAGCTGCTGTCACTGTGGTTGGGGGCTTGTTTCATTGCGGTTGTGTGGGAGTTTGGTGCAGCAGTGGTCCCCGGGGTGCTCAAGCATGGTACTCCCTGGAGATGGCTGGCAGGGGCAGGCTGTGCAGTGACTGAACCTGCCAGCACCCTATAACCCACCCCCAGGCTCACTAGCACCTTCTTTCATGGAGTGGTAAATTCACATCTATGGGCCTAATCACTCTTGGAGAAATTAAGTCACCTGGGTACAGGTGACGCTAGTATTTGCAGGGGTATTCTACTGTAGTTCCCAAAATCAAGAATGCATCAGGATCACCTGGAAGACTTGTCAGCACAGATATTGGGTTCCACTCCTAGGTTTTCTGATTCTTAGGTCTAAGGTGTGAGGCGCCTAGAACTTGAACTCCCTTCAATTGATGCTGAGATACTAGCATGGGGCTACAGAGCAGTATAACACCCATTGGCAAGCAGAGTAAGGACAGATAGCCAGAGCAAAGAACAGCTGTGCCTGCAATCTAAGCAAATCATCATCGCTTAAAAGATATGTGGGTCTCCTCTGCCAGAGTAGCAAGTCACTCTCTTATCCCCAGCTGTGTTTGCACTAGGAGTATCTACCTGATTTCACCTCTGCTTGGCACAGTTTGTGAATAGTCCAAGCCCGACCTCAGAGCCCCTGGACTATGCAAATCAACGTCCATGTCTGTGTTTCTGTCCACACCTGCAAAATGTGAAATAAGAGTTCTGACCTTCCACAGAGAAGGGTTTGTGGGCCAGGACACTGCAGCAGCTGGGAGTTCGCAGCTCTGGATCTGTAGGCGAAGAGGAGACAGTCCCCAGTCCACCTTTCCTGGATTTGCCATTCTCCCAGGATGCCCAATCTGCAGAGGGCACAGACAGCCCACTGCTGAACCAAAGGGGTGCCCCACCCACATTCCTGTCCCTCCTCTGGTGGCTTTCTTTTGGAGAAGAGGTTGCCCACCCACCCAAACACTGTCTTTTTTTTCCAACAGTAAAACAGTAAAAAAAAAAAAAAAAAAAAAAAGTAAAAGAGTACAAGTAATACAGAATTTCAAAAAAAATAATAAATCACTAGTTAACAGATTACATATTGTCATCTTAGAAATAGTTGTTCAAGTTACAAAATTAAAGCATACAAAGTGAACATTCAAACAGTGAGACTACAAACAGTTGTGTTCAATGATCCAACAAAAACTTAGTAATATGGTTTTCTATCTTACACACTTAAATATACATGCAGTTATATCCTTGAGAGCACTTTCTTTTCCTCTCTTTTTTACAATAATAATTACACATTTGGGGTTTTATTACTCCCACTGTTCTTATTACTTTTTTTTGAAGAGAATAAAACCAAATGTGACAAAACAAAACAGAGTCAGTCAAAACAAAAGGATGGACATAGTACATGATGTGAAGACAGAACACCAGGTGATCAACAGTGGTTACCGTAACGCCTCTTGCTATCTTAAGAAGAGTTGCCTATATCATCAGGTATAATAAAATTGAACAAAACAGTACCGAACAAAACCAATAAAACCTAAACATTGGAGACCTTACAGGACTTCAAAAGAAGATAATAGTGAAACCAGAATGGGCATCATAGTAAATCTTATTGCCTTCAAAGTAGTTGCCTATACTCTCAAATTTGATACTATCAAACAAAACAAAATAGAGTAAAATCAGTCAAAACAAGAGCAATACAGGGGTTCAAATCAAGTTAATAGGAAAACAAAAAGTTACTATAATATATCCTGCTATTTTAAAATTTATTTTTCCCTTTATTAAAAAAGTAAAAAAATAATTTTTAAAAAAAGGAGAGATTGAGATAAAAGAGGACATAACAACACAGGTCAGAAAAGAACAATTTAAGCAACATAGTGTTTTACCACCAGATACCCTGACATAATAGTAGTTACCATAGTGTCTCTTTCCTTGAAATATTTGAGTACAACTTCATATACTGTAATTGTGTATAGCATCAAACATATCAAGACAGTGTGAAACCATTCAAGAGAATGAAAGTATTACAGGGTATTAGAACCAGCTAACAGAAAACGAACAATGGTTTCTATATTATCTCTTTGCGTATAAAAAATTTTGTTTATACTATCACATATATTAAAATCCAATAAGATACAACATGATAAAACCAATGGAGACAGAAGAACAACAGTTTGATGGGACTTCAAAACAAGATGATATTAAATCAGCACTTAGCTATTATGATGTCTTGGTTTCTTCAAAATAGCTGTTCATACCATCACAGACAATAAAATGAAACAACCCAGAATAAAACCATTCCAATTAATGAGTGAAAACATTATAAGGCTTCAAAGCAATATAATGGGGAATCATGATTACCACATACTTTTATGTATTATCATTTCTTACACTAGGAAAACTATTTGGTATTTATATATGTGAGTTTGATTTATTTCACTTATGAGTATGGTCTCAAGCTGTACCCATTTATTTATAAATATCTCAATGTGATCCTTCTTTGTAGCTGAGTAGTACTCCACTGTATAAAAATACCACAACTTTTTTATCCATTCCTCAGTTGATGGACACTTAGGTTTTTTCCAAGATCTGGCTATTACAAATTGTGCTGCTATAAACATGAGTGCACATATATCACTGGAGTGGAGACTGACCTTGAGTGACTTCCTGATCAGCTGTGACACCACATAGGGATCTGGTTGGGCGGTCAGTGCCAGCCCACAGGCACTGATCTCCCCTGCAGGGAGCTCCGGAAGCAGGGCTGACCAGCAGGGCCTCCGCCCACAGCAGCATGGTCTGAGAAGAAAGTGCCTGAAAACAGCCCACACCCATGCAGACACTCAGCCTCTCACAGGGGACTTCAGAAGGCTGGTGGGGGCTGCGTCTGCCTGGGCAGCGGTCTGCTCCTTACTTTGCATCAGTGGTCACCCTCTTCACTGCACTTTATTTGTGTTTAAGGGCTTAAAGAATCAGTCTCGAGTCAAGCTGAATATTGTAAGATGTCCTCCAGTGACCACCGTGTTAATCAGAAGGCCAGACCTTCGCTACCAACTGGGTTTCAGTGTCCAAAATGGAATTGTAAGTACGACTCACTCCATGCCCTTTTCCAAAATGTGGACAAATAAAAATGAGGCAGAGAGCATCCATCGTGGGAGGGGTTTTCGCTTTTTTTGTTTTGATTTTTGTGTGCTAGGCGAGCTCTGTACCACTGACCTTGAACTAGGAAGGCCTAAAGGTTCCTGTCCCCTCTAGCTCTCCACACTGTGGACTACACACTAGGGTCCTAGTGCCACTTTGGCTCATTCAGTGCTGACCTTAGCATCGGGCAGCCAGCGCTAAGGGTCCATGTGTGACTGTGAGAAATAAGGACAGCTTGTGCTGCACAGGCTGGAAGCACTGTCACCTGGATGACAGGCTCAGAGAGCTCTTCTCACCAAGGCCGGGGGGATGACAGTGTCCGTGTCCAGCATGCCATGAAATCCAGTGACATGCAGCATCCACTGTACAGACTGCGTGATGTGCTGCGTGGCTATGTGGGAGGAACCTGAGATTTGAGAACTCTAGCCCTGGCTGTGGCAGCTTCACAGAGGTGCCCCAGCTGGGGGTTTGGGGTGCCGGAAGATGCTCTTTAGCTGTGCACACTCCTGGGACCTGATGCCGCCCACAAGGCATAAGTTAGTCTTTGGCTCTGCTAGATCTGCAGCCTCATGCGAGGTGGAATAGCGGAGAGGGGAGGCGTCCGCGTGGGACATCGGATCATCGAAATCAACGGACAGAGCGTGGTGGCCACGCCCCATGAGAAGATCGTCCATATCCTCTCCAATGCCGTTGGGGAGGTAGGAGCGAGGTCTGGGCTGGAGAGGGACCGGGGCGTCATCAGGGCCCCTCAAGTTATGCTGGGTCTTCTAGGGAGCTTTCCTGAGCGTCCTCTCCCTCCAGATGCTCCTCAGTACCCAGCACCCCTGTCCCTGACCAAATGCCAAACCCTTAGAGGGGAGCTGCCTGGAAACACCTCTGTGACAGAAAAGCAGGCCACCTCTCCCCTTCTCTTCCTCTCAGATCTTTGTCACCTCGCTCTGTTGCTGCCCAGGTTGCCCTGGTTTGCCCTGTTAGTCCCAAATGTAGTTGGAAGACGTAAATGTCAGATTCAAGACCCACAGTGGCCCTCCAGACGCCTCTGCCTGGCACAGCTCGGCGGAAGTCCTGACTGCACTCTCAGTGCCAGCCTCCCAGTGCCAAGGGAGAACAGGAGGTGGGCTGGATTAGAAGCCTAGGGCTGGACTGGGGAAATACCTGCTTTTCCTTTTCATTTCCTATCACCTCTGAACTTTCTAGAAAGTTGTAGGCAGTATCTTGAAAGCTGTCACAGGAGAGGCACTGTCTCGGTGGGGCCCCTGCAGCCCCTCCGAGCCGTGGCCCACTGCTAACCTGCATTTCCCGCCCTCAGATCCACATGAAGACGATGCCAGCTGCCATGTACAGACTGCTGACGGCCCAGGAGCAGCCCGTTTACATCTGAGCCTGCGCCCAGGCTCTCCCGCGGTGGCTTGCATGGAGGACTCTCCTCATCGTGGTTGTGTTTCTCGTGCTGCATCCGTGTGTCCACTGAGACATTGCCCTTCCCGCCCAGCATCCGGTCTTACACAGGAAGAGAAGACTCGCGAGGACCACTTTGCTCTCTCTTTCCCCCCTTTTTTTTCTTGCTGATACCAGGGAAGTTTCCTGTGTGCCCCTTGAGGATAGAGAACAAGTATCCACTGGGATCTCCCCAAAACTATCCTGGAGGGCCTTTGGGGGTCCTGAGGTGGCGGTCACTGCCGAAGGGAGGTCCTCTCTCTCCAGGAGGCTCAGGCCTCATAGAAGGAACTCCGCAGGCCGCACAGACGCCGCCTTAGCAGTGCCTAAACCCAGCTGCTCATCTCTGCTCCCCTGGAGTCACTGACGGGAATGGTATGAGGGGGACATCACATAGGAATAAGCACAGCCCGTCTTGTGCTGGGGTCCCGTACGTTATTTCCACCCAGAATTTCTGAGCCAACCTTGAACCTCTTCCATGGCTAGTTTTAGTTTCGGCTTCTATGTATGTTCTGCTGCGGGCTTCTCGCCGGGGTAAAAGGGGAAATGCTGGCTCAGAGGAGGCTACCAGAGCGCCGCCAAGTCTGGTGTCTGCAGCCACGTGAAGCCTTGCCGGGTTGTCTGGCAGTTCCCAGCCAGCAGATCACCAGGCATAGCAGGCTCTCTGTATATTACACACGCATGTGCACAGAGTCTCATGGTGTGGATCCTTTCCTCCCACTAGGGCCAGGCAGGCTGAAGCCTGGAGAGCCCTCAGCACCTCGCGGGGGATCCTTGCCCTGGCTGGTTGGGCAGCAGCGCCTGGTCAGCCTTGTCCTGAGAGGGTGCTCACCCTGGCTGAGGCCTGGGCCTCCCCCACCACCTTGACTTGACTCAAGAGTGTCTTAGAGTCACACATGCCCTCCATGGGGGCCCTGGAACAGTGACCTGTCCCCCTAGAAGACAGTGATGTGGGGGTCCTGGGTGCATGTTTCCTGCCTTGAGTAGAAACTAGCCTACTTTTCTGCTCTATCAGGCACTCGGCTGAATATGGTGTTTGAAAGGCCAGAATGGCTCCAAAGATACAAAACTAAGGGGTCCATAGTGATCTCAAGTGAGGCCTAGGACCCCAAACATGTGCTAGGAGTGTCCGCGACTGCCCCGTGGTCTGAGTTTCCAGCTGCCTTGGGGAAGTCTGTTTCTATCAGGTGCCTCACATTTAGGATTCCGTCTCAGTGCAGTGCAGGTATCTTAGTAATATTATTATTATTATTGTTATTATTCTGAGCCACTTCTCACTTATTCTTGGTCCAAAGAGCATTTTGTTTTCATGTGGGGTATGGTTTGTTGTTTTGTTTTGTTTCATTCATGACCTCAGTAGAAACAGGGAAGAAAAACTAATATATTTTGTAATGTTAATAATATAGTCCCTGTTCTCTGCATCTATGATATTTATGTTCTGTCTGTAGAAATAGAAATACAGTGAGCAAATGTTGGGTAGGAATATTTATATAGAGGATGGAGCTATTTGCAAGAAAGAAAAGTGAACATACAAGGCTAGGAACGATGAGACTGTGCCTGAGAGCAGTGTGGTCACTGCCTTGGGATCCCTGAACCTTCCGGGTGGTCTGCACCAATCAGAAAAGCCAAATGTAGGAAAGGAATAAGCAGCTGAACTCTCTGACCACAGTGCAAAAAGTTCCAAGAAGAGAGGCTGCCAGCTCCCCATGTCCTACCTGAGAAGGGAAAGGACTGCTGCCCCTCGGTGGGGCCAGGGAGGGAGGACCCAGGACTTGTTTTAAGAACTCTTAGCAGAATGCTATAGAGGACCAGCCCAAGGCCAGCCTACCACCAACATGAGGACCAGGATCTATGACCTAGGTTCTGTTTGCTTTTACTGAAGCAACCCAACTACAGCCTGCCTAGTATCAGAAATAAATACTAAAGGGTCTTCACCCCATCTCTCCTCTACCAAAAGAGACAGTGGAACAGGAATAACATGATATGGGTGCCATCTCAGGCAACAGGAGCCTCCAAACTCACTGGAGGCACTCTGCCTGCCTGCTTCCAGAGTGGCTCCCAGGGTGCTCACGTATCTGGACAGGCCCAGTGGCTGCCCGAGACTGACCAGGGACTGAAGCTTCACAAGCACATTCCTAAACTGCAGATAATTAGTTAAGCTTTTCTACACCAGAGAGAGAAAAGATACTTTCCATTTCTACTGCAGAGAAACTTTGGAAACTACGAGAAGGGCTGTTTCCTAAGCCCTCAGAGAAGTGACATGCCTTGGCCCCATTGTTCCTTGTTATATAGAGTGGCTCCTCACACCTGGAGTGAAGGCCTTTGGAGCTTGGTATAGGACCCTGGACTGAAGCATACTCTCGTTTTCTAGCATCGGCCTGTGTGTGATTAGCCTCAGAACTGGGCTCTCAGGTGTTAGTCATTCCATGTCTAGAGGTCCCCAGTGGGGTCTTGTTCCCATCTGGCATCCCCATAGAGAGAGACTTACATATGTAAAAATCTCAGCACCCTCCATCATGGGGAGACTAGTCACAGCATCCTTTCCCCACACTGCAAGGCACAAAGCCACTCCGGCCACTCAGCTGGGACAGGCTCCCAGATTCGCCTCCCCTTCAGGGTCCAGCACCAGAACCACCCTGCCTCTGCCTTCTCCAGTGGGAGCATTTCAGGGAGCCACCATAAGCCTTGGGCCCATGAGAGGAAGAAACCCCCAAGACCAATGCCTGGAGCCCACCTCCCAAGCGACTCCTGCCTCCTGCCCCAGCGCAGCTCCTGGGGTGGAGCGCATTCCAGGGCTCTGTGCCCTGATGCGGGCTTGCTTTCTCAGCACTGCACATCAACACCGGCCTTCAGGGAGCCCAGAGTAACCTACTACCTCCCCCATTGTTCCTCCTGTCCCCGCAGCCCTGTCCATGCCTGTGTCCCCTGCCCCTCACTGATGAAAACACCCCCACCCAGTGGTGTAGCTGTTACCAATGTTTACAACCAAGAGCCGCCTCTTCCTGATGTGTGACTTGCACCTCCGCAAGGCCACTTGTTGGGCTGTCACTTCTGTCTGCTCCTTTCCTGGCTGGGGTCCACTTGAGCACACGATTCTGATTTTACTTCCCCTCCATCGAGGCATTGTGTGAGGACCATGTGGGAATGAAATCTCTTGTACATACTTAGCACAGCACCTAGAGTATGGACTTGTGCTACCGTTCTGTAAAGGGGGTGCAATAGAACTTAACTGTAAAGCGTTGGGAAAAGTATAGTATTGTATTTGTAACAATATCGTTCTTTGTATACACAGAACTCAATGATCTCTATATATAAATATAAATAAATATATAAATAAGATATATCTACACGTGAGCCTGGAATGTTGACACCACACACCCACTGAATGTATCTCCTCTGACAGTCTGGTCACTGGTCCCAGCCTGCCCGCCCCTCCGTACTGTGGCCACAGTTGTCTGGTTTGGGGTTGTGATGTACTACACGTGCTATCCTTTATTTAACTGAACGCTAATGTCTGTGTAAGAGTTGCTGCAACAATAAACAAGACTTTCACCTCTTGGAGCCAACTGAGTGTTTGTTTTGGGGGAAGAAGAGGACCTGGGTGTCTTCCTTCACAGGCCACCAGCTGCATAGGGACTGCATGGTGTCTCGGAGCTGGGTGTGAATTTTATGAAACTGACTTAGTTTTAAACACAAAAGGCTATGATAGTTAACACCAAGCACACTGTGAACTAGAGAAGGGAGTCTCTGGGTTTTGCCTCCTACATCCTCATTGAAAGAAAGGTAACAGGAATTAATCCCTATATCCCCCACTCACACCCTTCCAGTAAAGGAAATAGCCTTTGTTAAGGGCCCAAAACTTTCCCCTGGGAAAAGTGTCCCAGCAAATCCACCTGAAGTCCTGTCAGAAAGTTCTGGAAGGTTTCCACCAGTTGCTCTTTGGTATTGTACCTTTCAAAGTTTGGAAGCATGACCTTCCTGCTGCCAGAGGGGTGTGAGGGCCACTGGGGTTCCTAACACGCTATTGAGCCCTGTTTCTAAAGCAAAGTCTGTCTCACTCTTGCTCTCGCTCTGTCTCGCTCTCTCACTGTCTCTGTGTCTCTGTCTCTGTCTGTTCCTCTCTCTCTGTCTGTCTGTCTCCCTCCATCTCTCTCCATTTTGCCTGTCTCTATCTCTGTCTCCCTCACTCCATCTCTCCCTGTCTCTCCATCTCTCTGTCTCTACCATCTCTCCATCTCCCTCTCTCATCACAGTTCCCCTTAGAGCATGTGAATTGGAGCTTCTAGAAGCCCTGGGAGGTGGTGGCTAGGTCTGTGGTAGTCTGTTCTATGGAGCCCTGAAGCAGAGTGACTTGTAAAATAAAGATTTAAGGCAGAACAAGATGGTGGAGTTAGACCCTCCTAAAATTCTCTTATAGAAACATCTATTTGAACAGCTATACACCCATCTAATTCCTTCACAATAGCTAGAGAAACCAAATGCAAGGTCTCAGTACTGTTTCCTTGCACAACAGCAAGAGAAGACATAATAGAAGACAGGACGGAAAGAGGTGTTCCTGTCTGCCCTTGCCCAACTTCAAGCAGCACAACATAGAGAGACACCTCCCACTTGGTGGAGGAAAAAGGAATAAACTGCAGACACTAGACTTGAGGTCCAGCATTTGAACAGGGCCACACAGCCTCAGCCCCAGGCCAGTGTCCCTAGACATTACTCTGATAGAACTACCTCATATAGCACAGAGTAGAAAAAGACTATCTGCTTGGCGAGTCAGACAAGGAAGAACGCATAGAACTTTGCCTTGGACCACAGGGCTTGGCAGGGGAAACTCAATAGTTGGAAGATACCAATGGCCCTTGTCCCCAGTGCCTCAGACTCTGGACTGACTCAAAAAGGATGGACATGTAATCCAGCCAGCATCAGTTCAGGTCATCTGTAGCAGAACCTATGAGTAACCAGAACAGCGGACAAACCATAATAGTGTGAGTCTTGGTCCTGCTTTTGCACTGGTCTCAGCAGGCTATGGGCTCTGGACATACCCCAGTGAGAGACACTGGTGTCCTCCACACCCTCATGCACCATATTATAGGGACATTGGTTGTCATGCTGAAGAGAAAAGAGGGTGAGGCATGACTTATTATTCAGGGAGTTAGAGATGGTCCCTCCTTTGTGAAGCCTGGCACTGAGTAAAAAAAACCCTGCAACACCTGACCATGGGTCAGTGACTGTGGAAGAGGTGTTTGTGCCTGCCCCAGCACACATGAATAGACCATCCTAGTTAGGCCCTCCCCTCGTGCATCAGCAGCACACTAACTGCAGCTTTACAATAGACTTGGGTTTGGGATACCCTCTAGTGCTAAAACAGTAGCAACACACCACCTGCAAATTTCTAGCAAACCTGCACAGTGCAGGTGTGTGCTACTTAGAGCTAAAATAGTGGTCAATTCAGCCTGAGGAAATAATTATTAATGTACCTAATGTTAGAACACCTAACATGCACAAAGGACATTTAAAGTACCATTTTGGTACTTATTTTTTAGGGTTATATCAACTTTTCTATCACTGGGACACAATACCCAACACACAACTTAATGGAGAAGTGGCTTGATGTGGCTCACAGTTTTGGGGGATTCAGTTCGTGGTTGACCAGCCCCAAGGCAGGAACATCACAGCCAAAGCTGTGACAATGCAATGCAAAGCTCCTTAGCTTATGGTGACTGGGAAGCAGAACAGGGAACAGGAAGATGCCAGGGACCACACACATTACCCAAAGTCACACCTCTATGTCCCACTCAAACACACCCAGAAGTGTGCTTTACTAACCCCCTTCGTGGCTCCCAAGCCAATCAAGCTGACACAATTATGCTTACCCACACAGTGTATGTATGGACTGTCCCTTTAGTTTCTGTCTCCCTCTTTTACAGTCTTCTTTTGTGGTTAAGCAATTTCTTTCTAGCAATGTTTTTGATTGGTTGATTATTTTGTTGTATAATTATACACTTTGTTCTGTAGTTACCATGAGGACACTGGGAGCCATGTGTTGAAGATCTCTTTGAGATCTGAGTCTCAAGGTGTAGTGGGTGATCTCCAACTTCCTCCGCCTCTAAAATTTCATATCTCCTTCCACTAGCATTGAAAACTGTATCAAACTTTTGAAGAGTGTGCTGTTACTCTCCTTTGCTGTCTCATTCCCAGTTATCTCTCTGAAGCATTGTGATTCCTGAATAATCAGGGTGAAAATGTTTATGAGCATTTGTTCCCCTTTGGTTACTTTTATAAGGGATGCTCTCAAAGCAACACTAAACACAGTTTATCTTCCAGCTTTGAGGCTACATTTTCTGCTACAGCATAAGACTTTGATGGTAAATGGATGTCTACCAGTTGGGCACTCACCCAATACCATCTGACTACACCTGACTCAGAAGTCCCTTTTATAAAGATTTCTAGATGATTCCTGTGCACATCAGTTCAACATGTGAAACTCTTGGCCTGCTGCATGGTATTCTAAGTGGTACATTTTGGATGAAGGGTAAGCCTGAGACAACACAAAGCAAATATTAACAGACCCAAGGGGACGGAGAGAATCCAATACAATAGTTGGGCACTTGAATATCCCACTTTCAACCATGAACAGATCATCCAGAGAGAAAGCAGCACAGAAACTGCAGAGGTAAACTCCACCTAGACCAGGGCTCAGGTAACTGGGTTGCCTGGTCTGCACTGAGTGAGGAGGAATTGTCTTGAGCTGCATATAAAATATATAAAACAGTTGATGTGTATAAGTAACAAAACATCCTTTTTCAGTGTTTCTTATTGTAACAAGAAGCCTGTGGACTGCAGACTGGACAGACATGTCTGCCCTCAACTAATGGACCTAACAGTTATCTACACAACATGCCTGCCAACAACTATAGTATGCACATTTTCATCAGCACACGGAGCATTCTTCAGGATGTGACAGGCCACAAAGCAAACTTCAACACATTTTTACACTTGATCTTAGCCAAAAAGCCAAGAAGCAGCTCAACAAATTTTGAAAATTGGAATCATATCAAGTATCTTTTCAACATCTTAGTAAAACTAGAAATCAATAAGATGAGGACTTTGGAAACTTCACAAATACATACAGATTAAATAATATTCATCTGAACATCCAATAGTAAAAGATGCAAAAATGGAAATTTAAAAATGTCTTAAGACAAATGATAATGGAAACCAAACATCAAAACCTATGAGACACAACAAAAGCAGTATTAAAAAAAAGAAAGTTTACAGCAATCAATGCCAACAACAAAAAAACAGGTCTCAAATAATATCATTACATCTCAAGATGCTACAAAAGCAAAAATAAACCAAATGAATTGTAGATGGGAAGAAATGATAAAAATCACAGCAAAAATAAGACCAAAAATACCAACAAAATGAAAAGGTGGTCTTTCAAAAAAGGTAAAATTACCAATCCCTCACTGGAATAAGAAAGAAAACTCACACGCAGAAACCGAAAGAAAGCACAGCCAACATCACAGAAATACAAAGGCTCAATAGAGACTATTATCAGCAACCACATGGCTTTTAATAACCTAAAAGAAATGGACAAGGTCTTAGACACAACTTACCAAGACTGAGTCATGCAGAAATAGGAAACCTGAACAGATCAATAATGAGATTGAATCAATAATAAACAGTCATCAAACAAAAACCTAGGAGCAAATAGCTTCCTGGCTGAATTATACCAACAAGTTATAAGAACCAACACCAACTCTTCTCAAAGTATTTTAACAAATTGAAAAGCAAGGAAGTCTTCCAAATTAATTCTACAAGACTAGCACACCTTGATTCCCAAACCAGACAAAGATATTTTTAAAAAATACAGGTCAATATTACTAATGAACACAGAAGCAAAAACCTTCAACAAAATATTGGCAAACCTAATCCAGTAGCACACTGAAAAGAGTATTCACTATGATTAAGTGGAATTCACCCGGTGATGTGAAGAGTTCCACATATGCAGATCAATAAACATGATATCCCACATCAGCACAGTAGACCAAGACCAAATGATCATCCTACACATAGAGAAAGCATCTGATAAAATACAACGTGTCTTCATGATAAAATCTCTGAGCCAACTAGGTGGAAAGAACCACCTCAATATAATGAAGGCCACACATTACAAGCCACAGCTGCAACCATACTGAATGGAAGAAAATTGAAAGATTTCTCTCTAATGACTGGAGAAAGGAATGGCCCCCCCACTGTTCATCACATGCTCAAGCCAGAGAAATCAGGCAAGACAAATAAGGGATATCTGAAATGGAAAAGAAGTAACTTGTCTCTGTTTGTGGATGCCATTATTATGTATATTTTACATTTTTTATATATTATATATACTTACATGTTGGATGGGTATATATATATATATGTATATGTGTATATATATATATGTATATGTGTATATATATATATATGTATATGTGTATATATATATATGTGTGTGTATTTACCCCCAAAGATACCTCCAATAAACTATTAGAACTAATAAACCAGTCCAGGAAGGGGAACAC